ATATTCTTTATTTATTTTAACGATCTTTTTTCGGAATTCGGCGCAGTTGCAAGGCGCCTTTCCGAGGCTTGTTGAGTGGTTTGCATATCAACTTCGTAAACCTATGTCTCATCACCAATTACAATACCTTTTATGAATATGGAGTCGTAATTACCTCGTTCTAACATGTTTTCAGCGACCCTTACGCGATTGGATTTTTTTAGAAAATTCAGGTCCTTTGACACAAGTTTCATGACTAAAAAATCGTTCAAAAAGGTACGAACTGATTTGTGAGACGTAGAAATTTAATCAGTTATCTTTCTCTGACTTAAACGACGATTTTCTGTCACTATTTTCTTTAGTTTAGTGATGTTGATGACCGACCAGAGCGAGGCAAATCTTCCACATCTCGACCGCTTTTCAATACACTTCATAAAGTCGATTCACCATAAGTCTTATACAACATTTTCAGTGCTTCAGCACAGGAAATTCCATTTGCAATGCGAAATTTGAGACAAAATCTTTCTTGGATATTTTTATCCATTGTAAAAATCTCAAAAAACGTTTGGGGTCAATCAACAAAATAAGTACCTACTGTAAACAATGAAATTTAAATAATGCATACTAAATATATAAGAATTAAACTTTAGACTGTAATATACAAAAATTAATCAATAAAAATATCAACACATTAACCTTACAACAGTTTCAGTCAATGTTTCCAATTGAAACTTCACTTTCCTATTTAATTATTTCAAATAGTTGATTCACCACACAATAAACAATAAAATAATTATCCAACCTATTTATGACTTGCGTTGTGTCATTCCAAACGGAATTCACTTGTTTCATATTTATGGTTATCGAGGAAAACTCTTCTTCTATTTTCCTCTTCTTCTTATATTATATTTATGATGCACTGTTTGGAACCTTTGGTGTAGTAATGAATATTACTGGAGTTTTTTCCCAACACCAAATCGTTATTTTCAACACCTCGACACGTGTTTCAATCACCAAGTGATCATCTTCAAGAGGAAGATTAAACTGGCAAACTTGCGAAGCTAACCCTATTTATGCTATACAGGTATACCATACAAGTTATATTATGTTAGGTGTTAGGATTCGTAATCTACACCTCAAAATACGTAGATATACACGTTATCAAGGGAAACTCTTCTTCTCTTTTCGTCTTCTTCAATATTTTGTTAGGTGTTAGCATTCGTATTCTACATGTCAAAAAATGCAGATACACACAAGTTTTTTTTCAAATTAGCAGGTGCTGAAATTTTTCCACTTTCAGTTGTGAACTTTAATCAAAATCCAAAGTTATATTTACAAATTTCTACATTAAACAATACATATCTTTGCTTTCATTTGAAAATAGTCTGACAATGATTTACTTCAATCCCTGACTAGTATATATCTGTCTGCTGATTCTATAATTATTATTTAAAATGTCAATTCGGTATATTTCTAAAAACACTACCCGTCGTACGACTCATGCATCATTCAGAACACAAGAGCCTTTTGTAACTCTGGGCATAGATGTGTTCTTTATGTTATGTAAATTTCTATTTGTGGACCAGTAATTAATATAATTATGATATTTTATCTGAATATTAATCTAAATGACATAATTACTGTGTGCAGCATCCTTCGCGTTTAAGTGGGTGGTCTGAACTGGATGCACAGGGACTGGGAATGTGGATCATGTGTGTAGAAAGAAAGTGTGCTCAGTTTGCTCAAGAATAGTCATCGGCAGAAGAGCACATATATTCGCGTCATTTATTTTATGCGTACTAGTCTAGTGCCTTTTCATATAAATATCTGCTCGCCTTCATCGAAAGTTTTTCATTTGTTTATATTCACGGGTTACTCCCAATTAGTATACAAGATTCTACAAATATCAGAACACTACGTTATCTAATGTACTTATGAATTGAATATAAATTTAACAGGTACAAAATATGATTGAGGTGTCTTTCGATTGACCATCGAGGTGTCTTCCGTTAACCAGCAATAACTGGTTAATGGAAAAACAGATTTTTTTCAAAAGAGTAATTTACGATTCGAGGCAAGTTGCGATAACAAATAGTTATAAAAATTTCAGTTGAACAAAAATGAGATTCTCGTTTTTTGCGAGTATCTCAAAACCTATTGCATATTTCAAAAATAGAGTCCCGAAGCTGTCGGGTCCCATTTGAAAGTGCTAGTATTTTTCTTATATGAGTCAAATTTTCAACACGGCGTTTTTCGTAATTAGTAGATCTCGGAATGGAAGCTTTTCATCATTTTCAATTTCATATGCAAACTTTATATTTGGGAATCTGTTCTCTTTCTCTCTCTCTCTCTCTCTCTCCATTGGTCCCTTTCGGGTGCATTTGGCCAATTTCATCCTGTCAAGAATTGTCCTGTTGACAGGAGCTTTCGTAGGGGAAGCGCTTTTTTTCTTAAAAATCACTCCGTTTTTTTATCAGTCGCTCCTTTTCGGGAGATCTTCAGATTTTTATCTTCACATACATGGTCCCCTTTACGTGGCTATCCAAACCGCCCCGGCGGCGGTGTGTGTAAATGGGGCCCTCACTTCACATGTTGACTGAAACTGTCACATATTGGTTGACTGAACACAATGGAAGTTTACAACACGAAAATAAGCCCCGCGATAGCACATGCCATTCGAGTACCTTTTTTGTGGGCGGACGTTATCGGCACGTCCGTCTACTACCACGGAACGAAATCTGTTGTTTAGACAATACACAAAATCATATACTTGCTTCTATTTGTAGCAAAAATGACAAATATATTGTCCACGTATGGGACCCAGGTCGAATCATAGGTATTTCCAATTCATGTCCCGTGATGTCCCGTACGTATAAGAACTCAAATGAACATTCATTGAGGAATATTCTATTTTGTATCTTATTTGTTACAGCCAATTTCTAATTAGTACTTATGAGAGGTGTCATACTTAATACATCCCAAAGATTTTCCATTCAGATCCCTAGAATTGTTTAGAGATTCAAAGTTTATTATTCCAATAATACATCACACACATCTTTTGAAAGTTTTCATTTCAGTGTTATGAAAATAATTTCTCAAAATGAATTGATGACTGCGACATAGGAGATAAAATGTATTTTCAGGTTATTATATGAAATATTTCATTTCTAATAGATGAGTTTTGCGAAACTAACATAAATCTGATGTTCTCGAGAATATCTGTATTTATAATGTATTTGGATATAAAACGCTCATCAATTGTCAACTAATTAGCTCCTGACAAGCTGAGTAATTAATTGCTGGGTAGTCTCAGCGGTTCATACTATCATCCGAAGAAGAAGAATTACTGTCAACGTCAAACGTCAACCCTTCTCGCAAAATCTAGACGTGTAGATAGAGAAATCATGCGTAAACGTACGTATGAGATATCATTGGGACGTTCTGCTCCAAGATTATTTCTGTTCCCATTAAATGGAAAGTTGCCTCAGCACTGTTTCCATTTCAACTCCGCTCATGAAAGATCAACTATGTATAGACACAACGGGTTTGCCATTGTTGTACTCTGTACTGCTTTTTGTAGAAACAGTACTAAGTACTAGCCATCATCCAAACAAGAGCTATCTCAAACACGAACGTTTTCTTCGTTTTCCCTTATAGAAGAAAATAAGGTTATATCACGTCAAGTATCGATGTTGCCTGTGTAAAGATTCGTTACCCCAAATGTACAATATGTACTTTTTTTTTATTAAATTTTTCAAACTAGACTAGATATGTCTCCATTTCATTTTCCACGATTTATTCAGTCCAAATTTTAGAGTGAATTCAGTTATGATTGCTCCATCTACACATCAGAAGCAGAGGTAATTATTAAAGAGAACAGGATACTTTGGAAAATCGTTATGTTATTTATATAAATACAGGCGCGTCAATTTTTCTATTATTATTATTTGAAATTTTCAATGCTACCAGAACTCCATAAAGAAAAATTATTATATTTCAAATATATTTCACATAACATTATCTTCTCAAATCAAATCTATTTTATTATTTATATGAAAAAATGTGCACATTTTTCCTGTCTTATACTGGCAGTTTTTCTTATTCTCAAGAAAAAATTCTAAAGGTAATAAACTCAAAACTTTCTTTTCAAAAAGACAATTTCAGAAATAACTTGAACTACCCAACTCAAATATAATGCCAATTTTCCTTTGCAATATAACACAGTTGCTTTTCACTAATCACAAGTCATCTATTAAAGTATGAGCTTGATTCATTCATTCGGGTAAGTTTCAAATATCAACCTATTTACTGGACTGATTCTAAGTTTTCAAAAAAAATTTCGCCATATTGTGCAAGAGAATAATGTTTTGATAATATATCAACCAGATACTATCACTAGTCAGGTTGGCCGAGCGGTCTAAGGCGCCAGATTTAAGTTCTGGTTCCCGAAAGGGAGCGTGGGTTCGAACCCCACACCTGACATCTTTTTTTTTCAAGACAATACGCAAACTACTGTATCTTTATAATGTCATCAATTCTTTTAAACTGCCTCATTTAATTTTGAGTTAAAATTAATATTTCCAAAATTTTAGGAGAGAAGAAGTTAAGGAACATTAAATGATCGAAATATTCCAAAAGGAGGGCCTTAGGCTCGATCATACTTATCCGAATATTAGCATTTTTGTTGCGAATCGCAAATAACCATCGCACTGAGTGTTTCATAGTTGTACGACCCATTTGAATGGGAATAGGTTGTCGGCTATTTTTATCGTTTTGTTTTCATTAAAACAAATCACCTCTCAAAAGTTGTTTGTTGTTTTATATTTTATTAACAAAAAAAATCATTCGGTATCTATAACAATATACATAATGATGTGTTTAATGTTGGAAAAGGTATGATTTATGTATTTTGATCATATAAATTCAATCATACAATTTCCAAATTAAATTAAATCATACAACCATGTGAAACCGGTAGACACCGAAAACGGAACGTAACCGTATTCCAATCTGTCATTGACTATGACAGGTATCGCTAAAAATATGTTTATGTGCCAAAATGTTTTATGAAAACCAGACGTAAATTAAAATTTTAAAAACATTGCTTTTTCCGAATCATGAGCGATAACAACCGGACATGTAGCAATGAGGCTATGGAAAAAATGATTGGAAATGTGACTGCTGAATTACAAAATACTGATGGCCAGTATATTAATTTAGGATTCACACCACCTTCAACACCCCCAGAACAATTGAATTGGTCCCAACAGCCCAGTTATATGAACCACTACAACGCTGGTGTTGAGCAATACCCGCAACAACCCTTCAATTTCATGCCACCACATCCTCAAATGTTTGACCAAAACGGGTACAAAAAAAACTTCAATAACCTTTCCGAGTATGATATGTATAAAATGAGACAAAATGGAGCCGCAGATATTGGTCGCTTCGAAAGGGACTACTACGTTCCACAAATGCTGAACAATATTCCACTGCAACCCCATCAAGACGCAGTGCCTCTCTCATCGACTCGAGGCCAACTGTTTGATCTTGTCGGTAACTGGATCGGACCTACCATCAATGGTACTTACTCTCCTTTTGGTACTTCTGAGAATTACCCGCCTAATCCTAATGTATTTGATTTACAACAAGATCTCACAAACGCGAATATAATTCATCAACTAGGTGAAGAACCGAAATTTGCCACTGCTGATCACTTGGAGGATGTTCAGTTCCAATTTAATCGTGATATGAGGAAACCTCGAATGGTAGCGGAAGTAAAACCGATGCGCCCCAGCTACTCCGATGTCCTAACAAAACCCGTGCCTCAAACTACAAGCAAACCGTTGAAGAGTGATGCAAAAGAAAGTAAACCGAAGAAAGAAGGTAAGAATAGGAATGAATATAATTTTCAGTGAAGTTTGTACTTAGTATGCTAATACAAGTTCTTGAAAAATTTCAATTACACTCATATTTATGTCTGAGGTTCATGAATCAGAAGGTAAAACTTGGCACTCCGATCTGCTTTCAGAGATGTGGCCACTCGTCATAATTGTTAATGAAACTAAATGACACTGTTTTTTGGTTTCTAGTTAAAAAAAATTCAGAAACTAGCATGAATTGTTAAAACGAATATTCACTAGAATATTGTTTCTGAAATGGCATGGGAACTATATTAATAATGAATTCTTTTTGGTGTAATAAGTTCAAAGACAAGTTGCATATATTGAGTTCCTTCTTAATGAGGTTGAGATTAACTCCACAAATATTTTCTCATCAAATTGTCGGCCTGAAAAGAAAATTGATGGAAATGACCAAGTAATCATTAATTTTAAAATATAAGTGTACTTTAGATATTATTCATTCTGATCACTTAAAACTAAGTCTAGTAATGTTTTTAAACTAATTTTATTCCTAGTAGGTTCAGTAACATTTTGGTTTACTTATTTAGGTAAAAGAAGTACTAAAAATGAAAAGGGCCAAAAAGCTGGGAGCACCCTGAACAGGAGCAACACAAACAATGATATAAAGGATATCTCGGCAGACAAAATCTCGAATCAAACCAAGGACAAAAGTAAGACTCACAAGGGGGGTCAAATGAACAGAAAGTGGGCTTCGTTAGATGATATCACCGACCCTCAAGTCGGTAAAACTGATGACGTGAAAAAAAGGAAAGTGGAAGGCAAGGATTCCAACAAATTGAACGCTAGAAAGATGAATAAAACTGTCAACGACATTGGTGATATTGAAACTGATAATACAAGAAGTGAGACAATTAATGTAACTAAAAATGGTCTGAAGAAAATAAACAAACCAATGGCCAGACCAAAACTTTATGATTTTGGTGGTAGTGAGAAGCCTCCTGGTAAAAGGAACCAAAGAACTAGGAAGAGAGAAAATCATGTTCCATTCGGTAAGTTTTCTAAAATTCTGGATTGCAGCCTTTTATATTTTTCTTTATTCACAATCTCTATGAAATATTTCACAGCGTATTGAAAGCACCTTGTGAACAAAAAATTATTCAGAATGTAATGAACACATCCAAATATGCAACTTTTCTTGACAAAACACAACATACATAATTCAAATCCTTCAGGTCATTCTGAGTAAAGAAAATTTCAAGTCCTCCCCTCACTTTTATAATTATCCAACTAGTGGAAGTGAACATTTTAGGCCAGGCAAGTTGAAACTAATAAAATCTTCTTTGGATTCAATGAAAAGCAGCTTTTAGTCCGTAGATGAAATTTCTTCAACATAATTCAGATCTCTCCTGCTCAGACTTGTTGATTTTGTTACTTATATAAAAAGATTCAGTCAAAAGTGTTTAGATAATGATAGCATAGAAAAACTTCACAATTGGTTAATGTGCAAGGAATCGCACGTTGAAATGTTAAGCCTCGTTAATCCTCAGCTCGCACAAGTTTCTACTTCTGAGAGTTGTTCTATGAAGATGACAGTTGCTTAAAGGAAAAAACTAGTTTTAGTTTTTTTTTTTAAACAAATCCTATACAAGGTATATCTTAAGTGAATGAAGGTTATATAATATGTATGTGAATACACAATTTTTGTTTTCATTACTATAATCAAAATTTCAGAAATCTCCAGTTACTTTCGAGGCCGATTTGGATATCCTAGTCCTTGTCTCAGTCTTTGTTGTCTTAGGAATTAAGAATAGACATGTGACATACAGTGTTACCAATCAGAAAGTAATTGTGCAATTTACAATTCAAATAAATGTGGCTTCCTGTAGACTCAATTTGTATAATAATTAACCCTATTACCATAAGCATTCTCTATTGGCAGTGCTTGTGTTTTTGATTTGTAGTATAATAATTATTATTGAAAATAATATTGAAAAAACATCAGCTGACAAGTCAACAATCAACTGAATTGAATCAACCCATCAACTGATATTTGTAGTTGTGGGCAATTCAATTAGATTAGGTAAAAGAAGTACTTATTTGTGAACATGCTCATTATTGACATTGTCTTAATCATAGTCCTATAATTTAAAATTCGTGAACTTTCTGGGTCAGAATGTATGAACAAAGACTAAGAAAAGGACATTAAAACATCGAGACTCTACATTTTGAGACTGAAATTAAAACAGAGAGAAGGATTGGGATGTCTAAATCGGCCCTAACACACTGTAAGTTCTAGATGAAAATTATTATTATTATATTTACCTGTGAAATTTTACTCTCAGGAAAAATTTCCTGTGTAACAAATATCATTCACAATTCAAGCAGTTCTTGCATTTATTAAACTGCCAATGATTTTTACTAGTGATTTTCATTAATATCATTTCTCATTCATAAATATATTTGAATGAATTTGAATAGAATTTGAAACATTTGTTATTTTTAGGTATAGTTGGACAGAAAGTGAAGCTCTATACTAAAGGCTGGTGGAAAATCTTCACGGTTTTCCTGCTGTGGCTGTTTCATTTGATCTCTGACATATGTCACTTGAGTCTTCATATTAGCCGAGACATGTGAGTATGAATTATTGTTCACAGTTAATCTCAAGTAGCAAGTTCTAGAAATGTTTGATTTCAGTTTGCGATAGTTTACAGGGTCAAAAATCGTGCTTTTATGATAATCAATCACAATTTTTTTATTTCAACTGCTTTTCTGTTTTTTTGAATAATCTAAGACGTAGTTTTAATTTTCAACAGGGCAATTTCAATCTGGAATTTAAGTTGAAATTCAAACCATTCAATTCAAATCTTTCCAACCCCTTCAGTTTACATCATTTGTTATTTGTTATAATATTAAAGCTAATATTCTAAACCACAGTCTTTGTGTCTAGTGTGAAAATTTTATAAAACCACGAAAACTAATTATCAGTCTATTCTAATTTTACAGGGCTGCTATTTCATGGACATGGATATGCATCAACTGTGCTCTTTTAGTGAACTCGACCAATTCTTTTATTCAAGGGATTCCCCTAGTCGAATGGACAATAAACAAATTCAAAGGTAGAAAAAAGGAATCCACCGATTCGCAGAACATAAACATGCCAACAACTGGAGAGGAAGCTATGAAAAGGTTGTTAGCTTGCAAAGGAAAAGACCCTTACAGCATACTGGGAGTTTCCCCAAATTGTACAGACGACGATATCAAACGGTATTACAAACGACAGGCGTTTTTGGTTCATCCTGATAAGAACAATCAGGTGGGGGCCGAAGAAGCTTTCAAGATTTTATCACATGCTTTCAATCTGATCGGAGATCCTGAACAGAGGACGTCTTATGATAGAGGTTTGTACCTATGGGTATTTTGAATTTTTATTTTTGGGATGGAAGTTTGTGTGGAACACTACACCTCAACAAAGAAATAATGATAATAATCCTTCTTTAAGATATTTCAGATGACGTACAACAAGACGATAATGAAAATCTGAAAGACTATAGATACAAAAAACTGTGAAACGAAACAGTCAAAGTTATGATAAAAATCATACGTCAAATTAAAAATTCAATTTTGAAATTGATTGATCCGTATTTGGAGTTTGCGTATTCTTAGATCGTTACTCAGAATCTACCAAAAACCTATATAATTAATTTAAAAAGGATATGTAAGAAATTATAAAAATTGATAATGAAAGAGTTTTTTTTAGAACTTTTAATTTTTTTATTCATTTTAGTTTGCTGAAATTTTTCCAAAGTATTTAGTGAACTTTACTTTAAAGGCCCTCCAAAGTATTGACTATCTGCCGTAGTTTGTTTTATGCCAGATATAAAAAAGTTGAAATTTCGAGTTAATATAATATCTAAAAAGTTTTGGAGTCTTACAAATCAATAGTTGGTTTTTTACATTCTAATTGGAAAATAAAATTTTTTTGGTAGTTCAGCCAAACAGCTGAAACTGGGAACATACGTTCGAGACGAGTGTATTAATAATAATAATAATCTTTATTAGTCTCAAGAAACACAGTTTTTAGACACGTCAATACAATTTCTAAAATAGGTTTGAGAGGGTAAGATTTGTCAATATAGTTTTTTTTAAAATGCTTGTAGATAAATTAAATTTACAAAAAAAAATACAACTTAACAAGATAAAATTCCAATCTTATAAGACTTGACTAAAATGTAAAGCCATGAGCTTTTACAAACTATGAATCACATAGCTAACGTATTATATATATTCAAAGTTGAGTAAGGTGACCACAAAAGTGTCTCTTTCTTCTTGGATAACTTCAAAAAATTGATCAATTTCATATAAAGGATGTTTGGTTAATATTTTCTTCAATAAGTTTTTGAATCTTCTAAATGGCAAGTTACGAAATTCGGCAGATAAGGCATTGTATAGCTTAATTCCTATATTATCTGTTCTTTTCAACCTATTCGCTGTAGGAACAAGGTTTGATTTATTTCTTGTATCATGATGATGTATATCCTTGTGAGCAACTTCATTCAACAAGATTCGTTGAACAAGAAGCAGATTTTCATAGACAATAACTGAATATAGGGTCATTATTTTAAGTTTTACAAATATTGGTCGACACTTTTCATCATAATTGGTAGAGAATATGCTTCTTACTGAAGATTTTTGAATGACAAATATTCTATTAAGATGTACCTTTGATGCATTATTCCAATTGATTATACCATACCTAAGGACTGAATGAAAAAGAGAATGATATGTTGCAAGTGCCGCACTTTGATTTACTATTTTTTTAATTCTTCTGATAGCAAAAACAGTCTTACTAAGTTTACTACACATGTTATTTATGTGGTCTATCCATTTCAGGTTGAAATCTATTTGTACTCCCAAAAATTTGGTAGAATTTTTGTTATCTCGATTTAAGCAAATTGTTTCAAAAGTTAGAGTTTCTGTTTTTTGTTCATTGAGAATCAAGTCATTTGGTGTAAACCATGATCGAGCTTTTTCTAATATGTCAGTATGGATCATATGAGAATCATCTATTTTATATATTTTTTTGCCCAAGGTTGCATAGATGCATACAATATAGTTTCTATGCCTGACGAGTTCATCACGTGAGGTAGGTCGTTGATATATATTAGAAACAGAAGTGGCCCCAATATTAACCCTTGTGGCACTCCCCTCAATATTTTTCTTTTTTCACTTTTGGTATTTCCTAGATCAACAATTTGATATCTTTCGTTAAGGTATGACTTCATCATGTCCAGGCAGACACCTCTCACTCCGTAGAAATCTAATTTGGCCAATAAAATCGAGTGATTTACCGAATCGAATGCTGAAGTAAGATCTGTAAAAAGCTCACATATTTTTCTTGGTTATCAAAGGCGTCTTTTATACTATTTGTGAGAAAGTTTATTGCATCAGACGTTGATTTTCCTTTCCGAAATCCAAATTGATGAAGACTCAGAAGATTATTTATATCAAATTATTTTACTAGTTGTTCGTAAATTATGTGTTCGAGAATCTTTGAAAAGGTTGGCAGTATTGCGATCTTTCGAAAAAATTTTGGTTCAGTTGTAACACCTTTTTTATGAATTGGCAGGATTCTACCAATTTTTAATTACTGAGGGAAGTAGCTTTCACTTAGACAGGTATTGATAATATCTGTTAAGGGTTGAGTTATACATTCAATGGCACTTTTTCTTACTAAAACATTCACACCGTTTATATCTTCCGTTTTTTTATTTTTTAACTTGGTTATGATTATCCTCACCTCATCTGTCGTTACAGGCCTAAAGAACATCGACTTATTTGTGTTCATTTTTTTATCCATAAAAGCAATAGGGTCAACATCAGATTTGGGGTAGTGCAGTAGAGTTGTGTTCATGTTATTGATGAAGAAGTCATTCATCTGGTTAGCTGTTAGTTTTTCTGGTTCATTTAAGATTTTGTTTTTTCGACCTGTTTCAGAGTTAATGATTTTCCACACAGTTTTGCTGTATTAATCGCTAATCGAATGTAATCAGCCCGCGAAATTTGAACATTCACCTTATTAATGAGCAGACCTTATGTGGGCTCATACATCCGATACACACACCTCAGGGCCCCCACTGCATGGTGTAATTGAATAGGGACCTGGCCATACACTTTCAGTTAAATATTAAATTATTATCTTAACTTTCTTCCAGGTGTTGTTCAATCTGCCCAAGTAGCCCAGGCCTGGAGCGAACTCACGGAGTTGCTGCAGCAGTTCCAGCAAAAGGTCGAAACTGCTGCCAACACGATTAGGTGTAGTTCGTGCGGTTTCAAACACAAACGGGTGAGAATCGACAGGCCGAGTTACGCAGCCAGAAACTGCAACACTTGTAAGATCCACCACTCGGCCAGAGAAGGAGACATCTGGGCGGAAGCCAGAGTTCTCGGATTCCTCTGGCATTACTACGCGTGCATGGAGGGAGCCGTTTACGACATAACGGAGTGGGCGGGATGCCAGAAAGGTAGCATGAAGCAACTCAAACCGGACTCCCACCACGTTCAGTATCGGATTTCTCTGGGGAAGCATAACCAGCCTAGAAGACACACGCCTACTCTGCATCCGGGCAGGCCGGACTTGGAGAATCTGCTGAATAGTTTTTATGGACAGACGGAAGGTGCCCAAGGCACCCGACGTAGAAATAAAAAAGGCTACAAGTGAATGTGTTAATCTCAATAATTATAGACGAATGTTTTCTTTTTTGCAAAGAATGCTATATTATATAATTATAATGCGCTTAAAGAATAAATAAGTTTTAAAAACTGAAGGTTACTTTTTATGCCGTGACTCTTCCAAAGAAATAATATTTATTTATTTATTTATTAGTTTACAAACTCTACAGAACATGGCCCAGTTACAGAGTAGGAAAGGTAAATATCACAAATATATTTTTACATACAACAAAATGACAAAAAAGTTATGTAAAAAAATATTCAACAAAAGTTATACAATTTCATACAGCCTATTTCTAAAACTAGCAAGATTTTGGAGAAAGATATCACAGTCATTTTGTACATTATTATAGGCATTGTACATAGCTTTTAATCGAGCATTTTGATAAATAATTTGTTCTTGCGGATTCAATGTAAAATGTGCGAAAGGATCTAGTTTCATAAGCAGGTACATTGAAATTGATTTTTGATAGAAGACAAGGTTGTTTGTTGTACTTTTCAAGTACCACTACTTTGGAAATATCAAGGTCATAGTTACTTGTTTCTTTGAACTGAAGATATGTCAGGAACTTGTTCTGAACTCTTTCAATGCTATACTTGGTGACAGTTATATTGAGGACACCAGATAATGGAAACATTCCAAAATGCTTCTGATAAGAGTGATATACAAATGTTTGAATGCAGGTAATATTGTTGAATTGCCTAGAGTTGCGAACTACAAACCCATACATCTTTGAGGCCTTGTTTGTTATATTCAGTATATGAGATCTAAATGATAATTCAAAATCAAAAGTAACGCCAAGGTCTGTTATTTGTCGAGTCCTGTTGAGTTTTATACCGTTCATCTCGTAGCTGTACGTTATACTGACTTTTTTTCGGAAGAAGGTCACAGTATTACACTTTTGAACGTTGAATAACAATTTGTTCTTTTTTGACCATTCAACGATGATTTATATCGTTTTGTAGATGTGCACAACTGTTGAAATTCTTCTAAAAATTTTCAAGTCATCTGCAAACAACAAGTAGCAAGATGATGTGATATTGTTTGCAAGACTGTTGATAAATAAAATAAATAACAAAGAACCTAAGTTGGAACCCTGGGGAACTCCAGACGATGCAATAAATGGACTGGACTTATGCCCTTTCACTATCACACTTTGTTTACGATTAGATAGATATGAACTGAAAAATTTTATCAGGTTCGGATGAAAACCAAAGTCATTCTAGAGGTTCTATTCTAGGGTTCTTAGAAGAATTGGATGGGTGACTTCGTTAAAAGCTTTAGCAAAGTCGGTGTAAGTTATGTCCACTTGAGCACGACTATCCAAGTTTTCAGCTATAAAATGGGTAACTTTGCTAAGATTACTAACAGTGGATCTTTTTTTTAATGAAGCCATGTTGGAACTGTGATATTTTAGGAGAAACTAATCTATAGAGATGCTTGACAATTAGTCTTGAAAAGTTTGGCTAGTGTCGATAAAACTACTACCGGCCTGTAATTGATAATATCGGTTTTGTCACCTTTTTTGAAGACTGGAATAACCTTTACTTCTTTCCAGATATTAGGAAATGTTTTGCTTTTCAAGGACAGGTTAAAGATAGTTTTCAATGGATATAACAAGAAGTCGACAAGATCTTTGAAAATAAATGGTGGTATATTATCAGGCCCAATTGACTTTTTTATCTTCAAACACTTAGCTGCATCAATGATATAATCATCTTCAAACACTTAGCTGCATCAATGATATCATACAGTGCATAGATATCAATTCAAGACTGGTATTATCAGTAAATGCTGAACCATCAACACAGTCATTTGTATAAACTGAACTGTTTTGTAAAGGCATTAGAAATATCAATGCCATTGGAATATTCAATATTGTTCAAGTGCATTTTACCTGGTATACCTATGCTGTTTTTTTTACTGTTCACATACTGCCAGAATGATCTAGAATCACTACTAATTTCCTGCTGAACCTTGCTTAGATATACTGTGTGAGCTTTATTGATGTCATTTTTCAATTTCCTTCTCAAATCGCGAAATTTCTGTGCTAGTTCATGGCTACTGTTTTGTCTTCATGTTAACCTTAGTTTGTTTTTTACTTTCAACAAATCTCAAAAGGAATCCTTACTTTTCAATTCAATAAGTTAGTCAGATACCTCCTTAGAAAAAAAAACTCAAATCGTAATTTTTCATTTTAGAAATGCTTGCGATAAGTTATTTGGATTTGAAATTCTCTACACTGAAATTGAGCAAAATCTGAAAAGAATTTCTCTGCAATAAATTCTTGAATTTCTAATATCCATAAAGCAAATGAAAGTATTCCTGTATAATCTATTTTGAAAGTCAACTTTTCGCCATTTTCTCCAAAAACAACTGGTAACAAAAAAATTTTTCTGAAACAAAATTCATTTCCTACATGTAAATGAAAAGGTTTACATCATTTTCTTGTATTTCAAAGTATGACAATATTTAAAAAAAAAATATTGTGGCAGTTTCTGAGAAAACAACTTTGTAGAAAAAGAGCATCCCCCTGAAAATTGACTTGAGATATATCCTGTCCTCACATTTACATTATTGGTGCCCAATTTCAAAAGATGAAAATGTATTTTTACATTGTCTTCTTAGAAACATGAATACTTTGTCTGTGAACATCAAGTTCATATTGACAAATATACAACAATTACAAAGATTGGATGAAGATGTGATTCAACACCAAACAGCGCTGTTTCGACCCGCGAAGGTATCATCGGTGGCGCTAGGCTGAACTATCCTAAAAAGGACAAGCCTTGCAGTGAAAGAGAACAAATCTCATTCAGTGGTCGATGTCGAAGCTTAATACCATTCAGTGGTTGATGTCAAAGATTAATCTCATTCAGTGGTCGATGTCGAAGCCTGGCTTTGCAACTGACACCCTTGAAGAGCCTCGTTTATTTTTGATATTCACGGATTGAATCTTTCGTCTGTACCATAGATGGCGTTCTCGTAGTGAGAGATGTCATCACCTTTACTTTCCAACTGGGTTGGATCAAAGCTTCATCTAGTTGCCTTACAGCAAAACCTTCAGTAGAAGACACAGGACCAATATTATTCGGCACTCTCTTTCGAAAGGAGCCGCGTTTATCTTTGAGAGGATTGAGTTTCCTGTTGATCCCATAGATGGTGCTTTTGTATGGGGAGAGACCGTTAAAAAAAAGATGACAAACACACTTCAGTAATCATAGTATAAATATTATTGGAAACAGATGACATTCACCTGCTTTGTTATGTTGGTTTAAGGACATCCATTTTCATACTTTCGCATCCATCTTCTACCAAGAAGCTCAAGAAAGATACCTTGAGCCTCATACAGTAAGCAAGGCAGGGTTCATGCAAATAGAATTGCACCTCTCTTCAAGATGTGTCATTTTAGTGGCTATTTGTTGATTTAAACGAAATAATAGTGCTTTTAATGCCAAAATATATAATAAATTAAATCTTTGAGTTGGTAACAGACATCATTAGATGACATATTAAATTAAACAATGAACACATAAACTATTAGTTTCAAATTTAACTAGTTATTCGATTGCTCCTTCTAAAAAACACAAATGAGGAATTGCTCCGATGGCAGAATCAACATCTTTTTTCATCATCGTCTTACGCTTACCAGTTATAACTGGCTTTGCGGCTTCTTTTGCCAGATATTCAATGAACATCTCCTAAAACAAAGTACTTGAATTCTGCTAGGATTGGTGTTTGGAAACTTACAGTAGCTTTTGTCACCAGGAACACTGAATCCTGTGATATCACAGTACAATTTGGATCCATTTTCATCATAGCCTTTACTCTGGCTAACGGCAAACGGAGGAATTTGTGTTTAGGAGAAGGATTTTCTTTTAGTGAAGTTGGAGTTTCCTTTTCGGGACTCGATTCATCTAAATGCTCCACATCGACATTGATATTTTCAATATCGTTTCCAGTCGATACTTCCATTACAATATAATTTAACTTACTGTTTTCTTTGCTTGGTTGTTAGATATTTTTGGTCAAGATGAGAAAAACTTGTTTAAAATTCGTCAAGTGATTGAACTGAAAAAGCCGGTTTTTCTTCTATTTTCAAATAAGTATCGATAACCTTGACAAAGGTGTCTATATTGAAGGGGACCATTGCCGCGAGATGGCGGTGCAGATCTATAGGAAAAAGAATTTCCATAAATATTAAAATATCTATGGGAATTTATACGATTCATAATATTTACTATTTCAACAAAAATTCTCTCTGAATTTCTATAGTGAGAAAATTGCTGGTAGAAATAATCTGGTAATTTGAAAAAATGCTTTATCGATTATTCGAAGGCGGAGAAATTTTCAAAGTTGAATTATGTGATATTTGTATGAGATGGAAGATTTGCAACGGAGTTTTTCGTTGATATTCTAGCCTCGCTAATTCAGATCAACTCTGGTATCTCCAACAAATTAGGTGAATAAATGGTATTAAGGAGGTTACTTTGACTTCCTCAGTCATTATAATAAGTTCATAATATTTAGTATGACGAGCTGATGGATGAAAAACAAAGATTCTACCTAGTTTCTTTTACAGTAAAGGCCATACAAGAGGACTTTCTTTTTGACCCCGACAGTGGACGATTGTACCGATAACGACCGCCCTCAAAGATTGCACGTGGATGTCGTAGTCGGAATGGAGTCAAAAAGGGTTGTGTAATCTAAAATAATGTAACTGTCCATTGAAAACAGAAATGAAATACGTATTGGGAGGATTGATGCCCCCCTACGCCAGTAACCAGGCTGGATATCGACGAAGTCGTCAGTCCTATAATATTTATGAAAATGTATGATAAAAGAATTCGAAAATGTCCAATGTAACCAATTACATAATCGTCGGATCGGTATAATGGTCCAGTTACCGAGCCCAATAAACCAAAAAAGAAGAAACAAAAGGTCATAAGCACAAACCACCTACTCTATGGTTTGTGGTCATAAGATGAATAAGTGGTAGAATAACCTCACAATATTTGTATAATAATAAATAATAATAGTTGTCTATTTACAAAAATGTATGCACGGCCAAAACCAGGCGAAACAGAGGAAGACTTGCTGCGTTTGCAAGAGGAATTCGAGAAAAATAAGGCTGAGAATAAAATAAAGCCTGCTGCTACCGTCGTTAGTAATAAAAGTGATGATGTTACCCTCAAAGCCAAAGAACAAAATGAAAAACTGGAAGCAGATATCCAGGAACAACTAGCAAACACATTTGAAGCTATACCAAGCGATTTCAAACTGAATAAAATTACCATAAAATCTACACTTCCTATTCCAATGCCCAAGTTTAACAAAGAAAAGGGTTTTCCACAAGCGAAAAGAAGAGATGTACTGTTTTTTGAATATTTACTTTGATGACTGTAGTATACACACTTGTACAAAGGTAATATTTTATTATCCGGGCTTTTCAAAGTTTGGACGTTTTCAATCTTCACGACAAAACAATGTGTGTACACTATCGCCATATATCATTAGCACTTTGCTTTCATTTTTCATCTAAAAAAATTTCCAGCTCACTGTCAAATCTGGCCAGGGCAGTATATTTTCACGACAATTCAAGAAGCAAAAAAAAGAAGAATTTCCAATGGATGTTGATAGCATTCCAATAACTGAAAATTCTGTATCAATCAAAGAGAAAACTGAGAATTATTCCCTTGAAACTGTTAAACATTTACCTTCCGAGAGTTATGTTGTAACAGGGTCAGACAGTAAACAGATTCATGAAGAAAATGTGAATCTGATGAAAACAATGTCGGAAAAAGAGATCCTAGAAGAACGTGAAAAACTCATTGCCACAATGGATCCCGCTATCTTATCATACTTAAAATCAAGACGAAAAAAAGAGAAAGTGGAAACTCGCAACCCCACTATCAAAGAACAAAATGAAATTGCAGAAAATATTGATATTGCAGATATTGAAACCCCCAGTGATGTTCTCGCTCAACCTAAGGCTGAAAAGTGGTTGAATTTTGATGTTATTGAAACAAATAAATTGGCCTGGATGAAGAATATTGACATACCAAAATTGAAAAAATCTGAGCAGTTTGAAGCTAGGTAAAATGTAAAGTTCTTGTCTTGTAATGAAATTCCATCACGTTTTTGCTTCAGGTTTGACTTTGAGGGATGGCTTATGCCATACTCTGAAAATGATATAAACGAGAAAAATAGAATCTTGTATCATCACGGAGATGAGCCTGGCAGACCAGGCTATACTTTACAGGAATTATTCCAGCTGTCTAGGTAAACATATTTTCTTTATAAGAAAGACATTTGGTAAGCCAACTGATATTACCAACTTATGGTAGTTTGGTTGGGAATTATGAAAATACCTATAAAAAACAAGTCGGCTTTAGGGATGATTTTGTAAGAAAACCTAGGTACATGTCAATATATATTACTTACTATTCATTTTCAAAAAATGAATAGCTAAACCTACAGTTTTTCTTTGTAATTCAGTGATAAAATACTCTACATTTCTCAAGCAAAATAGATACAAAGCAACAAATGAAAACGGGACAAACATCGTGAAACTTTCACAACTACAGAACTTTCGAAAAGACTGTCGTTCAGAAAACTTATAATTTCATCATCGGTTCATTTCTCATTCGATTTTGTTGAAAAATCTGATCCAACAAATCAAAATGAAAAGCATCCAAACCTTTTAAATCTCTATTTATGTTGATATTATTCTGTTTGAAAATGTGTATCATCTTTCTAATGAGTTGGCTATTTAGAATAGGTTAAAAATCTAAAACATCGGGGTTTGCATCATCGTAACTGTATTTATTTCTTCTCACATGTTAGAAGAAGATTAGACCTTCACCCAGCTGTTTAATAAATGTAAAGTGTTTTACATAAAATTCAGTATGTTGAAAATGAAATCGCGATTGTTTAATTTGATACTAATTGAAAATATGAAGCCTAGAAAAAACGTTGGTTTCGCTATTTTTCATTGCGTTGGCATTGGTGCAGCAGGAAAATCAATACTAGTAATTTATACTTGCCTGTTTAATGAATAAATCTTATATCAAAATATGAGCTGATTCTCTGCGAACATGATGATATGAGGTTGTCTGCAAAGAAATAGGCCTGAATAATAGTTGACAAGCTTAAAAAAGTAAAAATTTTATGCAAGTAACAAATTTGTATAAATATACTCTGCACGTAGATAAATTTTGTGCCTTTGAAATATTTATTCTGTAAACATTGAATTACTACAAATGTCTGATGAAAAATTAAAGTTAACTTATCGCATTACATATCAAGTATACATACCCTTGTATGTCAATTCACAGAATTCAAAGGTGTGGAAATTAAACAGTTCTCTGTTCAAGTTCTACATGATTTGTTTCTATTATGAGTAAGCTTAATCCCTTGTATAGGTTTTCTCACAAAACAAGATGTACTCGATAAAATTTGAAAAATTGGCAAAAAGTCAAGTCATTTTTCTAAGATAGATTTTTAGCAGAATATACCTGCCGGTTTTGAACTTCCATCGATTTTTCATAATATTTCTATGTAAAATGTTCCAGGTCAAGCGTAATCCAGCAAAAAATCCTAGCTCTCAACAGCATTGCAAATATCCTATCCCTAAACTCGACAGGTGTTTATGACGAGATCCTGGACATTCCCATAGAACAGATGTTTTTTGTTATTCGATTCTGTCTGGATGACAACACTTCGGCTGTGCTCAATGCTGGTATCAAAGCAATGAGAAATTTAATATATTCCCAGGTGGATGAAACATGCTTGGACAGTCTTTTGGGATTCGGTTTGGGTTTTGTGCAGCCGATCATAGCAGTGGACAACGCAATGGAAGATGACTACACAGTAAATGACCAACAATTGGCGGAAAAAAATATTGTTAGGTGTCTGGCGAGAACGGAAATACTGACAAGAATAAGGTGAGGTGTTACTTCTTTCGTAAATTTATTTATTTAATATCAAATATTTCACTTGTTGAAAGGTACAATGGAAAAAAAGATGAAAAAACATATCTTCCAATATACAATAACAAGGAAAACGTCAACTTAAAAAACTATAGATTACAAATGATTTGCCAAATTAACAAGAAACATAAATAACATGGGTAGGGATTAAATCATCGATAAAATTCTTCCGAGGAGTAGCAATTTTTTTCAATTGAAGTTTTTAATCTTGATTTCAAAATATTTATATTTGGGGCTGCGTTTATATTTAAGTCTAATTTGTTGAACATTTTCGGTCCGAAATAAAGATGGCTTTTCTGGTAGTAATAATAATAATACTTTATTTCCGTGTAGACAATATACATTGTATAGGAATAGTCAATAAAAGAAATAAAAATAAAGATAAAAACAGAGTATAAGAAACATACAAGTTGAAACAACACCTTAAAACTAAAATAATACCCTACTTATCTAATCTAAAAAATTCATTCAATGAATAAAAACATTGTTCAATTAGAAAAAGCTTTAAATTTCTCTTAAACATCACATAATTATGTTCTTCCCTTAAATGATCGGGCAGTTTGTCGAATATTTTTATTCCAATGTATTCTGGTGCAAATGAAGTTATTCTTAGTCTTGCATATGGCACATGAAATCTATTTTTTGTTCTAGTGTCATAGTGATGAACATTTTTATTCATTTTGAAATGTGTTTTGTTTTTGAATATGTAGCTGCATATTTCAAATATATAAACAGATGTGAGTGTTATGATGTGATAATTTTTGAAAATTTGTCTGCAAGATTCTCTCCTTGAGACATTCGCAATACACCGTATAATGCGTTTTTGAGCAATGAATACGTTATGAGTCATGGATGACCCACCCCAGAAGCAGACACCATACCTCAGTCTTGAATCTACTTGAGCATAATAAATGCTCATTAGTTGAGTGGTAGTTAAAACTGTCCGCAGATTCATAAATAGAAATTTCATTGAATTAAGCTTAGAAATTAGATGCTGGCAATGAGCATTCCAGTTCAAGTTTTCATCAAGAAGAATACCCAGGAATTTACACTTTTATTCGATTTTGAGTATGTCACATTATCAGCACTGAAACTGAAGTCTTCCATCCTATTTTGTCTATTATGAAAACGAATAATATTTGTTTTATCCGAATTAAAAAATAAATCATGATAATTGAAAAATTCTGATATATGTTCAACTGCAGAAGCACATTTGTCTTTCAATAGAGCGTAGAAGGCTGTTCAATGTGATTGAGGTACTAGCAACTAGTTGGATAATCACGTGATTTGTTATTATAAACAAAAATATATAATTCATAAACATATATCCCAACACCCGTAAGAAGTTTCAGGATTTTGAAAGAGCTCCTGCAAGACTCTCCATCCAAGTTTAGCAATTATTAGAACTGCCGACTTTTGTAATATGAAAATCCTTTCCACAGACGATCCCGTACCCCAATTCAAAATCCCATATCGTAAATGACAATGAATAGTAGCATAGTACAGACTCAACAAGATATCAGCAATACAGTAGTTAGACAAAAATCTTAACGCACAACAATTTTTACGTAGTTTTTCACAAAGTGAGTCGATATGTGGTGTCCAGGTGAGTCTGTAATCAACTGTGATGCCTAATAATTTAGTTTCTTAAGAGGATTCTACATGAAAATCATCATCCTCATATATACTGAAAAACTCGGACTCATTTGTAACCATAGTAAATTTCATCAGCACAGTTTTAGTTATATTGAGTTTCAGGTGATTTTTACTTGCCCATGTTATAACTTGCTGGTATACCTTTCCAGTAATATCTGATATAGTTGCCGAGTCTTTCTCTGTTAAAAGGAAATTTGTATCATCCGCATATGTTACCACATGTACTGATGAAAGTTGTTGAAAATAATGAAACAAGTCATTCGCAAAAATGATGAAGAGAAGTGGTCCGAGTATAGATCCTTGAGGGACACCTTGCCCGTGGTTCACTCACAGTGACGTCAACAATAACTCATTGAATTCTGCTTTGCAGATACGATTGAATTAACTTGTGAGCAGTCACTCTCACGCCATATCGTTCCAATTTCTGTAGCAGTAGTTCACGGTGTCAAAAGCTCTTGAAAAATCTATAAATAAACTACAAATGTGTAATTTGCAATCAAGAGCATTTATAATGTGTTCACTGAAGTCACATAGAGCTGTTTCTGTACTCTTATTCCTTGTGAATCCATGTTGGTTTGATGAGAGAATGTTATTCATAGAAAAGAAGGAAATTAATTGATTTTTGATATTCAACTCAAATACTTTTGATACACTAGAAAGCAAACTAATGCTATAGTTTTCATACAAATTTTGGTATAAATTGGTACAACATTAGCAATTTTCTGTTTGTCAGGAAACATTCCCATATTCTAGTGATAGGTTAATGATGTGATGCTGCGGATATGATAACTCATGAGCACATTTTTTTAGGAGCTTGTTTGAAATCTCATCATAACCACTTGCACCCGAGTTTTTTTAGTGTTTTTATCAAATCAATTATGTCATATTCACTAATGGGATGCATAAAGAAGGAGTTTTGGCAGATCTGGCATTATTTTCCATAATGTAGGGAGAAAGAGGACAGTTTACAATGATTACATTTATTTCTATTATACTTGCAATGTGAATTTTACTTGTGGAATTATTCGTTTTGAAGGTTTGGTTCAGTAAAAAGACTGATTTGAAAAAAAAATATAAAACCTTTAAAAATGTATTCGTTCTTCCAAATCTACATGAGATGAGTCTGTACTGATGTAGAAATTCACCGAAATTGAAAAGGGTGTATTTTTAGGAGAGATTAATTTTCACGAAAGAAAGTTTTGGTTTTGTACTTCTCTATCTTCATACACAAAATGTGGGAATTTTCCAGAGGAAGGAAGAAAACAATTTCAAAATAAACTTTTTGCTGAGAAGTAACTTTCAGACACAAACTGGAAGAGAAAACCCTTTAGAAACAACTACTTTCATATGAACATTGAATTGTACAAAACACTTTTTCCTATTCAATTTGTACTCCAACCTTTCATCATGGAATTGAATCAGATATCATTCATACAATATGAAAGAGTTGAAATTTCACTTACATGGAACACAGTCATCCTCAATGGCACTTGTCTTATTGCCTCTCCAGCACCAATCTGAAAGTTACATCTATGCATGATCTACACACCTTAGTAAAGTGTTTATTTTGAAATTAATTATTTTCTTCCTTTCTTTGAAGATTCCCACATTGTTTGTATGAAGATGGAAAGGTAGAAAGCCAAAAGCTTTCTTTCCAAAAATTCCACCTAATTTTTATATAGAAGACGGTAATATTTATCCTTCTTTAGGCAATAAAGTTACATTGAATCATGGTAAATAGATGAAAAATATCGAAGCTATATTGTGTAACAAACAGTAAATTATTTCTAACTAAGTTTGAAGATAATTATTACAAGTGAATGTATGTAAAACAATCAATTTTTGACAAAATACAATAACTTAACATATAATCATATGCAAAGTACATAAAAAAACAAAAAAGATAGGACTGTCAAAGTTGAAAAAGTTTCTTCATCAATTCCGTCAATAATAATAACAATAATGAAGACCTTTATTTGCATCATAGATAATAATTTTATTATTATCTATTCTATTCTTATAGTTTCTTTTTGAAAAAATAAAATTAAATTAATAAAAAATATACACAACTGAAAAAGTACAGTTAGAGATGTCCTGTTCTTACTTTCTTGTTGACAGCTTTAGCAGAACCCCTCCCCCCTAAATTTCCATCCTCAACTTTTCAATGCGTCATACGGATGAATATTATCTGTAATTATGATATTCCCCTTTGATATGTATAACTGACTTGATCTCGTACCCTGTCCTCTGTAAGGCTTCTTCAAAACATGTCAATATCTATTTCTTCTTCGAAAATTGAAAGATATAATCTCTCAACAGGAGCTATTATCAGCTTACTACGCTTTTTTCCATTCTCACATCTCATATAGAACAATTCTCCGGGGAAATAGTACTAATGCAAATAGGATATTTATATTACAAAAAAAGGCCGTAAGGATATTATCTGGGGCTGGTTTCTTAGACTCCTGTAGACCTAATTTCTTTACGATGAAAATAATGACAGTACCTTTAATTTATCTGTATCAACTTTTCATATTCATAAAAATGAATCAAAATTAAACAGAAATTTTGATTTCCACGATCATGAGACTAGAGGATGTGACTTGTTGAGGGCCACTAGATTCACACTGAAAAAGTCAAGCAGAAACTCTATCGATGTCAACTTATACAATATTCTACCTTCCCATGTCAAAAAGTTATATCAATACTTGTTCGAAAATCATCTGAAATATGTATTGATTTCTAATTGTGTTTATTCTACTGACGAGAATATAGCTGTCTTATCCAAAGAAACACAAATAAACGGCGAAACAGTATAATATTCATTCTTGGATAATAATGTATGTGTGTATATATGACCTCTCTTATTTGTATACATCTAAAACATCAATTAATTATCCTATCTTATCTATTGTAAGATTTTATGACGAAATGAATTTCATTCTAGATACATTATAAATACTGTAAAGCCTCCCCTGGAAACGATAGTATACTGTTTGGATATTTTGATACGGCTTGCTAGAGATTCTGAATTTGTATTAATGAAAATATTCAATTGTGAAGATTTGATGAACAGCATAACGAAAAATTTTGTACCAGAGGTTACCAAAAAAAGTGAGTATCATCGATATTGATCCAACAAAGAGTTTGTCACTTGAAATTTTCAAACAGGTTCAGCCACCTCCGCTTATGGTCTGCCCATCCTTCAAGCAGTGAAATTACTGAGGATTATTTCGTCAAGAAGTAAAACGTTAGCTTCAAAATTGATTTCGAGGTTAGTGTTTGATTTTTTATTTTAATTTTTATTATTATTTTCATCGTTTCAGGTACAAAGTTTTGGACTCGATAACTCTTTATTTATCAAATGATACGTTCTCCTCCAACGTTAATGGTTTGAGATTACAAACTGAATGTCTTAACTTTTGGAGCGTGCTTCTACATTATGGGCTAGCTTTGGACTATTTCAGTGTTTTTCAACCGGTTTTACTCCATCTGTTAGATTATCATTTTAAAAATACTAATTTAGAAATGGAAATGACTTACGTGAGACAAGGACATATAGCTGCTTTGCTGATATTGCTGTCAAAAGTAGTAGAGAAAAATTATTCTCTGGCTTCACCTTTTCTGCCTGTGTTAATCGAAAAGTGCATTCCAAAATGGTGCAATCAATTTGCTAAGTTGGAAAAATTTGTGGTGAGAGGCTTGATGACTGTAACTTTTATTTGAAATTGACCTGTTTTTATTCAAGTGTGGAAAACTACAGCTGATTGCTTCTTTAGTCTATTGTATGTCGAGCATACAACAGTATCAGCAAAGCACCGTTATCGATGGATTCATTAAGCAGATGATAGAATCCCAAGGTTTCAACAGAATTACAGATAATATAAGGTAAACATTTTCCTATCTATACTTGGGGAATTATCACACACCTGACACCAAATGTAATGTTTTTTCTTACAGAAGTGGATCCATGCTTTTGAACAACTATGAAACACTTAAATGTAGTAGTAACTTGAAAACTCTAGAAGCAGCAGCTTGGCACACCATGGAGCATGTTGTGCCAATAATCCAAACAAATAGTTGTCTTCCTTATTTATATGCAGTCTCGGTTTATGTGAATGTTACTAATGATAAACAGGTGAGATATATGATTCTGCAAAGATAAAGAGAAACGGAAAAACATTCATGTAATGAATACATATAAGCATATTTTCCATTTTGATTTTACGACTCAATTGTAAATGAAATTAGATTTCATTATGGGGAATCCAGTCATTAATGAACTGTGTATTTTTCATGGCATCATACAAAAGTTAATTATGTAAGCATAATGGAAAAACGAAACATATAAATGTCTATCACTCTTGATATATAGTATCAAATTTCAGATGAAGGTTTCTCTAGAATTTTCCCAGATTTTCCAACAGCAAAAAGTTGTCGTATATTCAGCTATGTTTGATTTATAAAAAGATCGTTTTACAAACTGTAAATATTGGACCAAAATTTCAGTCAAACAAATGTTTGAAATAATTCTTTGAATTGACAGAATTTTTTTATTTATGAACTAATTGAAATGAATTAAACAGTAAATGTTACATGAAGCTAGCCCCAATACATTTATGAAAACTATACCAAATTGGTTCAGCTATTTGAGATTAGCACGCACAAACGCTCAGAGAAACAAAAATTGTTTCAAATTCTTTTCTTTGGCAATCAAAAAAGTAGATCAAAGAATTTGCATCAATTTTGTGGAAAAATTCAAGCAAGTAGTCGAAGACACTTGAAATGTTGACAGTGGCATAAGATGATTGTACTCTGAGTCAGGAGGGTAGCTGGTTAACGAAAAAAAGATTTAAACAGATTTTTTTTTCAAATGGACAGTTGTTTGGACGAGAAAGAATACTATTGAATGCTTGTTGAGGCAGAATCTATAATAAACTTCGTCATATAAACATACTTGTACACATTACCAGTTATGAAACGTGCTTTATTCTCAATTTTAGGTAAAACTGAGTTTTCTTAGACACACGAATATACAAAAGTATCTAGCATCTCTACAAAAACTGGAGAAGTACTATCTCACCAACAACTGGTTCGCAAGGCCTGAAAGTATCCTTCTCATGAATATTTTAAAATCGTCAGTGCCTGTGAAAGAGAATCTAGACACCTCAATTTTTTACGAACTGGCCGTGAAATGTTTGTCAGTTTTCACTTCCGACCAGAAACCAGACATTGAATTCCTGCTTCGAAATATCGTTTTCTGCTCCAAGTTCTATCCCAGCGATGTTCTCTTGGAACATTTGGATATCAGTCAGAGGAGCGTTAATTTGGAAATCTCCCTGAGTAACTTGAGTGAAATTCTTGAAGTTTATACTCTTGTACTTGGTTTGAACAATGTGAGTAGTAAATAGTCCCAGCAGCGCTCTTTATATTAAATAAAAACATTTTCCAGGATGTTCCAGATTTATCGTCTACTTGCTGTCTAGATATAAGCATAGGCAACGTCATTCCTATCGACTGGATATACACGCCCATTTTGGTTCTCTACTCGAACGAGATAAAAAACAAAGACAATGCTGAAGAAGCTCAGCAGATTTTCACTATAAGAAACTGCCTGAGATGGATTTTAATATACGAAACCTATTTTCCTTTCCTAGCATCCACAATAAATCCAACAGACAAATTTTGTAGGTTAGCCTGTGTCTTTTTGGGTAGCGACAGTTTGTTTTTGACGAAAGAAATTCACGAGTTGCTGGAACTCTGCTTCAAGAACATAATTACAAAGTGTGAGAGAGAACTCAACTTCACAAAAGAGATTCAAGGTAGGTATCAAAACTAGTTCAATGAAATTGAAACTATGCATGAGTTTTTTGTAGGTCTGAGTAATTTTCAAGATTTATATACGCAACTGTTGGAACAATATCAGGGTGTTAGTTACGGTGACAGTCTTTTTGGAATTGTTATATTGGTGCCTTTGGCTCAGAGGCACAATGTTCAGCTCAGAAAGACGCTCTGGTCAGAATATATGGGAGCAGTTCAAATTTTTAATGTATCTTCAGAACAAGTAAGTTAGTTGTATGCATTTATTACATTATTGTTATTATAAATTGAACAGTTTGTAAGATCGAACAAAAAACTATCACACACTAAGGATATCTTATGGGGCGTTCCACAAGGATCAGTACTGGGCCCGATTCTTTTCCTTATTTATGTAAACGGCCTTGTTCCTCAATTCAAGGAATTTTTACGATCTTTGCGGATGACACCACGCTCCTTTGGCATGGAAAAAATACTTCTAATATGAAAGAAACTATCTCTAGTGATTTACAAGTTGTGAAAAAATGGTGTGACACAAACTACTTGTGCTTTAATATTTAAAAAAACAAACCCACTCACCTTCAGCCGTAATATCAACAATTTATACTTGAAAGGACAAATTCTTGAGAATAAAAACCAATCCAAATTCCTGGGATTCTTCATGGATAACAAATTAAAATTTTATCAACATTATTCAGCTTTGAATAAAAAAATTGCCATCAGGATGTTATGCACTTCGAATAGTTTCAAATGAACCGAGTTCATCCACAACAAAAATGGTATATCATTCCCTTATTGTGTCCCACCTGAGATATGGTGTTGCCTTCTGGGGATTTTGCAGTCAGCAACTTTTTCATTCAGTGTTTGTTTTGCAAAAGCGAGCGGTTAGATACTTATGCAAGGTGGGAGTCCATGAGTCATGCAGACCATTATTTTTGAGAGAAAAAAATTCTTACTGTTACTTGTATTTTCATACTTGAAACTGTTTGCCTGATTTACAAAAAACATAATATGGTTGGAACTCCGGAACATATAGATGATATAACCAGGCAAGTAACAGAAAATAAAATACATCTTCCTGTTCCAAAAATAAGCCAGACAAAGTATTCTTTAATTTGTGTCAGTAAAAAGCTGTATAATCACATAGCTTACGAAATTAGGAAGGAAAAAAGCTAAAAAAGTTCATAAATCTTGTTGAAGATGCCCTTGCAACTGAAGCATACTAGAATCTTGATGAATATTACAATGGAACTTTGCTGTGATTTAATATAGATATTTTTTTGTTGTTTATATTGACACTTATACTTTAAATTATATTTTATACTGGGATATATCTTATTGCCATAATATGTGCACTAATGTTCAAATTGTGTATATTTGTTATTTACATTTTTTGAAATGGACTACACAAACTATTTTGTCTGTTATATTTTTTATTGTTATATTTTATCTATTAGATACGTGAACTTAGTTTTGCTCAAATTGTGTTTCTAAGTATTTGTGTTTTTGAATTGTTTCTTTTCTTTTATTCTTTGAAGTGCAATACATATCAGATTTTTTATCAAGCTTTGTCAATAAGATTGCATTTTCTTGGACAATAAAGTATATATCTATCTGTCTATAATATATAATAATCGAAGAAACTGTGAACAAAAGTTGAAATGACTGTTAAAATATTAATAAATTCCTTTCTGGAAAAATGTATTATTAGTGGCTATTAAAAGGTGTACACTACATAGGTCAGAGAGCTCTAAATAACTCAGCATTTGTAACATAATATTTAACATTATATATGATTGAGAATAGTCCTGCATCTAGAAACTATTATATATTGGAACGATGTATGTGAACTTGTTTGTGTGGAAATATTTTTTGCCATTTATTTCAATCGTCACTCTATATATTAAATTGTGTTTGTTTTCAGTTTAGTTTTCAAAGATCTAATTTTTAATTTATGTTTTCATAATTTCAGTATTTTGGTGATATAAACCTGTTTCTGGATCCCATAGAAGAAGATATGTCGCTACTGAAGTGTTATAGGAGAGCCATCATTAATAACACAGTTAGGAAACATACAGTATTATTTGACATAGCGAATCATCATGTACAAAAATTTATGTTAAAGCGAAAAGAAAATAAATAATGTTTTATATAAGGAGCGTATCATTATGAAATTTCCACTTTGTCACATTCCTGATACTTAATTATGTGGATATAACTGATAACTTTTGAAATATGTGAGTTCTATTTATATTTACTGAACTCTCAAATTATTCATATCGATTTGAAAGAACAATAACCGAAAGTATATGGTTCCAGAGGGAAAGCTCTAGATTGGCGTATATCACAAAAAAAACGATAGTGTCTCAATTATTAATAAACTGCAAAACAAATGCACCTGCTTACTCATCACTGCTTGTTCGTAATTTGTTGGCCAAAAAAAAACCACTGTAATCATGCCTTAGCCACCATATTCACCAGATTTGGTCCCTGCGACTTTTTTCTGTTCCCAAGATTGAAGAGACCCATGAAAGAGCGACGATTGAGGAGATCTCGAGGACATACCAAAAGGTGCATATCAGAACTACTTCGAGAAATGGAATAAGAATAAACGCTGGCACAAGTATATTATATCTGAAGAGGGCTACTTTGAAGGGAACAAAATAGAAATTGATGGATGAATACATTCTTTTGAGAAGAAAAAAATCACCTTATTCATAAAGTCTCTCGGCAGTATACTGACATTCAGATCTAATTGAAGGTATCTTTATGTAATGAATTTATTAAATCCTGGAAGTTCAACAAATTTTTGAATTTATGAACTTGTTAACAAAGTCCAACTGAGGGTTATATCAGTAGTTTATTGTACGACAATAATGATATAAAATTAATTTTCAATAGGCGAACACCCAGTAAAATAAAAGTATAAAAAATATATAAATATTACGTACAGAAAATAGAAGAGACAAATAAAATATATGAATATAATGATTGAGGTTTTGATTGTAAATATCATAAAAAATTCAGGTTACCAAATTAAATACCACTCACTCAGCAACTCATAAAAATAACAGCATTCTTTGAAGACCCAGAATCAGTTCTAAGAACCTTTATTTTTGTTTCACACAAAATCACTGACAGTTTCTTTTCAGAATTAAATAAATTCTATTTTCAACCCAGTCCCATGTACTATTGAGTTTTTTCTATTCGAGAAGTGGAAATTGACTTTTGTATTCGTCACATTGACAATGTACCAAAAATTTACCTTTTACAAACGTTTTTAAGAGAAAAATTAGAATGGCTGTGGGAATGTTCATTTTGTCACACAAGCAAAGAAGAAACTTGTGTCTCCTCTTCTTGGCAATGAACATCCTTCAAATAATCCTAGGATGTGGAATGACAGGTTCATCTTTGTATATAATTATAGCTGTGTCTCCCATTCTTCATTCGCAGAGATCAGAAATCAACTTTGCTTTTGTTGTAACTGGACTATACGGCACACACGTGATATTTCACTGGATAGTGGGAATAAAAATTTGCGAAAAGTGTTTCAGACAGGCCCACAAGTAAGTAAATATTTCTAACATTTCCAATACAGCAACATTCTTGTGTAGAAAAGGGACATTCGAATTGATTTCTTATAGACTATAGTACATTTCCATAATAGTAGGCATTAAATTCTCAAAAATAGTATCGCATTAAAACGAAGCCATTATTGTCAAGGCAGGGATATTGCAAACAGTGACAGTGAATATTTTAAAACATTCATTCATTTTCAGAAAAAGCACAAGTAATTTGTTTCTTCTCTGGTCATGTTTAGGAACAAATACCGTCCTCAATTTGCTTATAGTGTCTCATTTCGCGAGAAAAATGAACAAACAACTATCCCGCTCCATAAAACAATCCATCGTAACAGGCATGAGCCAATATCTTCGGGAAAATATATGGAAAGAAACAATCGATACACTTCAGTACAAAAATGAATGCTGCGGTATAGATTCCTATGAAGACTGGCATGAGATGAAGTGGCTAACGAAATATCATGTGGATGTTAAGTCGGAGACCGTGAAACAGTAAGTAAAATATCGTTACATTTGAATTTGGTGATATGAAAGTTATTTCTAATATCCTCAGTGTTCTCAACAAAACCGAAATTATTCATTGAATTGACTAGAATGAATATAACTCGAACACCGTATTTGTTATATATATATAGTGTGTTTTCTTAGCTAATGCCACTATTATTATCTTGGAAATGGTAAGACCTACAGGGTCCGTTATATTGGACAAAAGTTTTCTATTTTGGGGAACTAGAATAATCTCTTTTCAGATCGAGAATATCAAATCAAAATATGCTACATTACCCAAGATCTGAACATCTTATTAGCAAAGTCTATTAAAGTAAAGCGTGTATATGGGACAATTAACAAATAATGCTTAGAGTTGATGGACAGAACAATATTAAGCCCAGTTGAACAGATACGAATATAAGTACATGAATATATGAATATTGAGTAAAAGTAAATATATAATGCTACGAAATGAACATTGATAGCCATTTCGTGTTGATTTCAATAACTTGTTTACACAAAGCTACATGTCAATTACTCGATAGAGCCTTGGTAGAATTCGTCCACACTATAATAGGGCCTCCCAACAAGGGATTCTTTTACTTTCTTTCTGAATTTCTTTCCATGATATATTCGCATTAAATTAACGGGAAGGTGATTAAATAACTTCTTGCTATTGAAAACAATAGAATTTAGTGCAAGGCCTAGAGTGGGTGTCAGATTTTTTGTCAGATTTTTTGCTTCACAAATAATGGGCGGCATGAATCCCTGTAGCTAGTCTTGCATAAATATCCGATGGATCTTTTTTGTAGAGAGAATACCATATTGAAACGAAATTGCGCACAATTTCCCCAGAAACAATTTCCATAACGTAAATAGGACTCAATTTGTGCAAAATAAACTGATCTTGTGATAGTAGTGTCTAACTCTCTTGCAACAACTCTCACTACATGATATCCTGCTGTTAGTCCTTTACATAAGTAGTCGACAGAAATAGAAATAGTTTTATTAATCAGTAAAATTTTCACACATACATAATTACAAGACTAAATACGTGAGAAAACTTATTGGACTAGTCAAAAGTAAAACGCTAAAAGCAAAACATAAATGTTTGATCTTGAACAAACTTAAAAGAGAAGACTACATGTATAAAATAAACTAAGTCATTTATGTAAGCACTAAAAGCAAGAAATTCATCCATACTGTAGAAGTAAGCATGGGAATAAAATTTTAGATTTTCATCAATGAAGAGCCCTAAAAATTTGTTTTTCTCCAAATTTTCAATTTCAATAGTTGTTTATAAAATATTCGCCGAAAACTAGAATTGTCAAATTTTCGGCTCTACCGCCTACATTTTGAATGATATAAAAAATGCCAGAGGAACTTTCAATACTGTTTCATATTTTTTATAATCTGATATAGGTACACCAACTTGCAATGCGACATATTATTCATTAGCTTCATTTTTTAAATAAAGACTTCCAAGTTTTTTCATCGATTTTTGTAGCAACTAGATATCCATAGAATGTCCATATCTTGAATGGGTGGTTACTTATATAAAAGAAAATAGAAATTTTGCTCAATAGTGTGATGTAATAATCATTTTTTTCATCATTCAAGATTTAAAGGAGACGGGGATATCCTTACCTTGCCTGTTACTCCGTGGAGTTGCTGTAAAGTAGATTTTCCCATGCAGTGTCTTCACGATCCTATTCAGCAAGCACAATATGCCCATATATGGGTGGATGAGCCCACCATAGTCGTGAACTCCATAAACACTAAAGGGTGTTTGGATAATTTGAAAAGACCCATTGGATCAGTGACAAATGTACTCATTTTTCTCAGTTCAATGGTGTTCATATCCCACGTAAGTTTAAAAGATCCCTTTCAAGGAAACAAACAAATAAAATAATGTTTTTCACAGTTGATTATTTTCATAATCTCAAGAATACTTTATACATCGACAAGGAATGCAATATTACTGGAAGATCCCGAAGGAAAAGCTCCTGGATGGATATTTGGAAGAGGAGACTGTGGCTATGCTGGTGGAAAAACTCTTCTGGAAATCATGGTTGGTGTTTTTTTTTTTTCATTTTACGCGAATGGAATCACAACATCAACGAAAATGTATAAAGTAATAATATCCCTAATAATAAGTTTGTTGATAGTCAGAAAAGTGAATAAATAAGGGTAGGTGGATGAAATATAAGTCCGATGAAATTTCAAAATGTGAAAGTAAAACTAGTCACATATTGAATCACCAGTAATGTAAGTTTTCAACAGTACTTTAATCTCACACTTTTTATATGTAAAGTGAAGTTTCTGAAGAAGCCTTATCAATTCTTTTATAGGAATCATATCCGCCTGCTGAAGAGCACGAAAAAATCGAGGACTTCGTAGAAGGTTCTGAAAACGTCGCCCAAAAGGATGGTTTTGAAGAACTGAACAACACTGTGATAACAATCAAAGAATTTGAAAGGAAAGTTCCAACTCGACCACCGCAAATTGAAAAAAGAAATGAAGTATTAACTAAGGGACAGTTTCCTTCAGAAGGAATTAAAGAAACAAAAAAGAGTAAAGAACTATTGAAAAATGAAAAAATGAAGATGCTAAAGCAAGCCACATCAGATACAAAAAAGTAGGTAATACAATAGTGGCCCCAAACTGTGCAAGAAATGAGAAAACTATGGATATGAATTTATATATTGTGTATTATTTTTTAAGAATAAATACTGATAAAGTATCAAATTTTTATTCACGCAACTGCTTATAGTAGAGAATGTCCTTCTGTTTGTACATAAAATGCATGTTCCAAACATCAGGCACCTGTACAACGTCTTCCATTTGGTATATTCGTCGCAAGTTACTTCCTATATATGAAAAGCAGAAATTATTTTCATTTGGTCAAGACGACCACCGATAGACTGGTTTCGGAGTACTTGCTCCTCGTCAGTACCGAAAAAGTCATTTCAGACGTAATGAACCGTCTGAGTATCCTGAACAAACAAAATAAATCCAACTAGTCATAAGCTCTATCTGCAGTTTATTCAGTAGGATGTCCGCTGCACCACCTACAGTTCAGAAGATGCTCGAAATGGTTGCCTTGAACTTCTTGACATGTGAACAGCCCATCCGATAATTCACGCCGAACATTTTTGAACACAGTAACGTCAATTTCTCTACAAATATTTATTCTCTGTCGTTTATCCAATTTTGAAGCAGGTTCCGTTTCGTACACCTTTTGCTTCAAATAGCCCCATAAAAAAAGTCCAAAGGTGTCAAATCTGGCGAGCGGGCTGGCCATTCTGTATCCAATAGTATCCAAATATTTTCTTACTTGTCTGGAGTAATGTGGTGGTGCTCCATCTTGTTGGAATACAATATCCATATCGAATTCATTAGGATTCGCTTTGACGATTTCAGTGATGAGAGGGTCGACAGTAGTTTCCAGCATATTCAAATACAGTTCTCCGGTTAAATTTTGATCAATAAATAGAGGTCCTACAATATGGTTTCCCAATATTCCTGCCCAAACGTTAATTTTTTCTGGATATTGGGTATGTGTTTCCCGGAAAATGTGAGGATTGATGTCACTCCAATAAGGGCAATTTTGTCTGTGAACATTGCAGTTTAAAAAAAGTATATTCGTCACTAAAAAAAATATTGTGGAGATGAGTAACATGCCTTGCAATGGTTTCCGTCATGTTTTGCAGAATTCTGTTCTTCGATCAGGGTCATCTTCAGTTAATTGGTGTACCATTTTAATTTTGTATGGATGATACCTATTCCTCTTCAAAAGTCTCCACACAGTGGAAGGAGATACCTCACAAACATTCGCGACGGAATAAGTAAACTGTTCAGGATTCACTACCCTCTCACCAAACATTTCTACTAGTAAAACCGAAAACTAAATGAGACTATTCTACCCATTGTTCTAGAGTTGAAAACAATTTTTTACTCAATGTGTTTCATAATATAACTATTCATGAAAATAATAAATTATAACAGGTAAAAAATATACCAAAATAACACCATACATACCAAACATCTATATTTTGTATAATGAGTAACAAAATTGAAGAAACCCCCGTATCGCATGAAATTTTAAAGTAAGGCAGATAAATAATACTTGAAATTTATTTCATATAAAGAACTACTTATAATACAAAACAATCTTATAGTATAAAACCAAAGATAAATTTGAACTTTCTTTCTAAGTTTGTAATATCATTTCCTTTCACATGCAAAATATAAAAAAAAAATCCAATAAATAATTAAAAACTGAAAATAGCTTCGACAATAGTACTAAAAGATTTTGATACTAAACTTCTAAAAACGCTATATTACACTTTTTCTTTTATTGAAATAATAGAGCACAACAATCATGTGATATTACAATCTATGAGATTAATCATTTTAATATGTATAATAGATTTGAATTTGAGTTTCCAATCTGTACTGTTATTGTTATTTCTGCTTTTACATCCCTTCTTCTGATACCCTTTCACTCAACCTAGAGCTGTAAAAAACATAACCAAGATCATTTCCAACATCAAATCATGTATAACATTATAAACGAGGATCCTTTAATAAATTTACAGAAATGCTTGGAAAACTATGGAGCTAAATTACGAAAATATAACAAAATGAGCAAAGTAATTTGTTCACCTGAAGGCTTACTTGTGATGCACTGTTTGGTGTAGTAATGAATATTACTGGAGTTTTTTCCCAACACCAAATCGTTATTTTAACAACTAGACACGTGTTTCGATCACCAAGTGGTCGAACGGTTTGGTGTTAGGATAAAACTGCAGTAATATTCATCTAAAGGTTTATTGAAAAACCCTCATAATATATTTAATAACAAAAAGAAAATCTACATTCGTTCAAACATTTTTCTTTATTAATACAACTACATTCTATAACGATTTTGAGAAGAAACTTTCAATTTTTGACATGGATTCCAAACACGATAACATCTATAATAGCGCCTTGATTTCTTTAGACAAGTTCTATTAAAATAACTGCAACATCAATATCATAAAGCATATAAGTGAAATTTTGAAAGCATCTGTAACTGAGCTAAAAATGATAACCAATTATTGTTGCAAATTGATATTCAAAAAAAATTAACGATCAACAAACTTGCCACATATAACGCCTCTTCAAAAAGTTTCTATAATCTTGACTTGCAGAGAATGTTCTCATTGACTGAAAGGCAAAATATAAAATATATTTTTATTGAATATAATCATCACACTGAGGAATGTTTTTGATTAACAATGTCTATGTTTTGGAATAGAGGCTGGGGAACGTGCAAAAGTTAGAATATGCAATTTCAACTGATTTCTTTTTAATAATCCCAGGAACGTGAAAAATGACAAATTGAATAAATATTTCTCACTCTTGAACACCAGATGAACAAGAGTTTTGACTGTTTAACATATGGTGTAAACTACATAACCTTATCTTGATCACGTGACCAAAGACATTTGGTGAATTCTAGAATGCACAGTTCTTCAAATGAATCAAATACATAAAATTATTTATCAGAAAGGAGACGATTTGTACCTCATGGATTCAATCTCAGGCCTGCCATCTATCTCACTTACATAAATTCAATTTTGAAGTTGTCAGATGTCGAAGCACAGAACGCAAAATGAGGAGTGACAGAATTCTTAATTCATTTTGTTCTTCCAAAATTGTGTTCTGTGATTATGAAGAAGAGAAATGAACGTTTTCATTACAGTGGTCACTGGTGGCGTTTTTCACCATAGATCACATGGGAAAAAAGTAACAATATGCTAGTTTGCTTAGAAAAGAGGTCCTTATAAAAAAAATTGTGAGTTTGAAACATTGTAATGAACAATATTATTACTATGAAAAGAGAAATGAAAATTTCTATGTTTTTACCACTTTTAATTGTAACTAACATCACTGCAGTTTCGACCTATATGGACATACTCAAACTAATACAATAAACTTAGAGATTATTGTATTAGTTTGAGAATGTCCATATAGGACGTAACTGCAGTAATGTTAGTTACAATTAAAAGGGGCAAAAAACATAGAAATTTTCATTTCTCTTTTCATTATGATCTCCTACCATGTATTGACGGCTACATCCATCAATTTATTATTACTATCATACTGGATGCTCGCTTTGAAATAATAATTTGTGTAAAATGTATTTATGTGTTGAAAATAAATACAATGAAATGTGATTTGTATGAAGTCAAATACTACATAGTAATTATGAAAAACGGATTATTTGATGATTGATACTATAGCTGAACTTAGTTGATGAATATTTTGTATCCAACTTGAGAAAGGAAAATGTAAAAAAATAAACTGTGAAAAATCAACACATTTCCTAGAGTTGAATTTATTGCTTTGTGAGCAAGTTATCCATCCTTTATGGGCGAAAATTGAAAGGCAAAAATTACTTCGAAGCTACAATCTCACAAAGAAATGCACTTTTCATAAAATTATTATTAGTTTGAATGTTGTCACAAATGATTTTTCAGAAGAAAATAGCACTGAATATGCTAATATTTATATTTAAAATTGAACACAATATGTTGCAAAATTATCTGAGTGATCAGTTAATAAGTAGTATTCATACACGCTCCACTAGAAATAGAATAGGAAATTTTCATATCAACAGAGAACATATAGGTTGTGACTCGTTGTATAGTTCTGGTCTGATTGCATTTAATAATTTGCCAAGTCATATAAAAAGCTGTGATTCATTAAATTCATTCAAAAGAAGATGTAGTGAATATATTTCAAGTAATAGTCATCAATAATTCGTCTTGTTTTCTAGTTTCTTGTTTTTAAAATGTGACTTGTCTCTATTTTTATATATTTTTTTGTATTGTATTTTATAAGTGACTGACTGTACTATGAAGAGCATTATTTGCTAAAGAGTAATAATATATTTTTTAAACTCCAAAATCTTCCTTGAAAATGAATGTATAAGCAAGAAACTTACCAGCAATCCCCGTTATGGCTTCCGACGCGGAATATTTCACATCAACGTCGTTGTCGACGTTAAGTTTGTCGAGAACTGGTTTCACTTGTGGCTGGATGACAGCCTGATCCAGTTGCGGCGCTATTCTCTGCAGAGTTTTAGCTACGTTGAACCTAACATTCGCTACTTTATCGTTGGCCATGCTCAGGACTGTCGGGAGGAGCAACCTAGTCGTTATGTCACTGCCGCATGCTTCAGCCAGAACGTTTATGCAAAACAGGCAGGTCATTCGGTAGAGGTAGTTTTGGTCTCGAGACATTGCCAAAACCTTGGAAAGAAACAAAAGGTATTTTGAGAATCAAGGTAAAAAAAACAAGAAAAGTTGTGTTTCCAGCTGCAAACTTCTGGATTTTCTCTGGATTACTACTGGTTCAAATATCAAGGAATGATAATGATATATTTACAGCTCAATGAGAAAACACTATTGTGATTTCACTTATTTTGAAAATGCCACACTCCAAAACCAAAGTTACTTCTTTGAATCCGTTTTTTTTATATTCTATTATTTATAATTCAAAATTTGATAGCTTCATCATCATAGACAGTACAACTGGGCCCTAAATGAACGACAGGTAGGGAAAGTTATTATTATTCATTGGCAAACTGGTAATAGTACGATAAGACTTTGCATGGTGTGTGTGTGTGTGTGGTTCAACATTTTTTGGCTTTGGGAGAACCAATTAGCCAAACTGTTTTAATAAAAAACTATTCGAAAGTAACATTGAGTAGTAGCTCAATAAGACTTTGCAAAAGCCAAAAAAACAAATCACCACACTTTATGATGTGGAACATTGAATATTGTACTAGAATATATGAAAATGAGTCGTTACAAATCAGTTAATTGCTATTCCAATCAACCAGTTTTCTGTGGAGTATTCTTCAATTCCACCCTGTCTTTTAGATCTCGCTGCACTGAACTAAGTAAAATTTTGAACTCAAACTCAAAAAGTGCTCTTGGTATGAACCATCCCCTGAAATACTACCATGCCAAAATTCACTCCAGAATTTCCTATGGACTAACTTTCTAGGGAAATAGCCCAGCGGCACATATGGTTTCTTGTGTCTAAGAAGCACATCCTAAGGTGTCTCTTGGGCTGTCCACCTGATCACTGTCGATTTTTTTTCCAAATAATACAAAATATTAACAGTTACTGGCATATTTGTTCTTAAGCTAATGACATACATAAATTGCAATTGAAATACCTTTTTAAGAAACAGTGACACTCACACTCACAATACAAGGAAAAAAGTTAACTTTTATGTGCCCTTTAAAAACCTGGAACTATCCAAAAGAGCACTGGTACCTGTACAACTTTCTCCCAAACAATCTAAGAAGTATGCCAACTTATTCATTTAAAAGACAACTAAAAAAAGTCTTGATAGATATGTGTCCTTACTCATTTCAAGAATTCCTAGAATTGATTTAGTTTTAAGTTCATACCATTTGACTTACAGATTGTCATACTTCAAAACTAGGGTTTTGGAGATAAAATCATATTTTTTAAACCTAAGTTAAATAGTGAGAACTAGCGTAGCTACAAGTGTAGAAAAAGTCAAATGTGGGTTCCACAAGGCTCGGTTCTGGGTCCAGTTCTTTCCTTAATTTATGTGAATGATCCAACATATTTGAATAAGTCGGGTGGGTTTACATCATTTACTGGTGACAAAATAATTATATTAAATTTCCTCTTCCTTCTACAACTCAGTCATTTACAATGGCTTTAAAATATATTATCATTTGTCTGGTGAAATCACAAAAATATGATCCCTGCTTGAAAAGGCAGTGAATAGGCATTTTGGAAGAAATTATTCTTATTGTTAAGATATTATATTAACATTTTTAAACAGTTCAAGATCTTCAGATGATGTGGTGCTGCAGGTTTTTCCAGGTTTTCTTGCAGCAAATGTGACACTGAAATCAATGAAGTCGCCCCGGAGCGCCAATTGATTTTTGTTGTAGTTTTATAATTTCATGATTTGTATTTTGGAATTGAATTTTTTCCCTTTTATAAAAACAGTTCAAATTTTGATATAACTTTTTGTTGGTTTTACCATTATTCACTTCATTTGACATTTTATACTTTACTGTAAGCTTTGGAAGCATGATTTATTTCATGCACGATAAAGTACATACTCATCCTCATATGATTCAGCAAAATTTCTAATTTGCGTTATTTTTAGATTGCTAAAAATGCACCAACCTAACCTATAATTCGAATGTACATCCCTCTGAACTACCTCGTACACACATTGTAACCCTTTTCGAACCCTCTAGATTATATTCATTAATGACATATCTGATTACATGAAGCTCATGACTTGAAAATCTACAATCCATACCAATTTCATTCAAAATAATTTCTGTCTCGATTTACTTCAAAGCATTGGCATTGGATATGGAGCTAGTGAGAACAATGCCCTACCTGAACAAATCATCAAACTCAAACATCAAAAAATTACCTTAGGGATTATCGTACTTTCCGCCCACTCGGCTCCAAACTGATCGACGAGCTTCCTGAGATTCATCGTAGCTGCCTCCCTGATAGCGAAAACATGGTCCATCAGCCACGTCATGCACAGAGCGTTCAGCTTCTCATCGAAGAATTCCCTGCCAAGCTGGCCAGCCAGCAGCGGCATGTACTCGATGATCGCCGATCTAACCCTCCACTTGGAATCCTCCGCAAGTTCGACGATGGCCGGCAGCAACGATTGTGACAGCTGCTGGATGCCGATCACCTAAAGATAATAGATAGATAGATGATCTCCATTGGTTCTTTGGTACAAGGATCGTTAGGTGTGTGGAAGTTGTCAAATTGAAGAAATAAATTGATAAGCAAAACTGTGTAAAGCATAAAAAAAATCCTGTTCACCTCATTGACGCAGTCCAAGTTTGAGATAATGTTCAGCCTGACTTCGGGGCACTCATCTTTAAGCTGTGTCAGGAAAAGGGGCAAAAGATGCTCGATAGTGTTGTGCCTGCCCAATATCGGGCTCAGTCCCATTATGACGGAAGCCAGAGCGGACTTGACGTGCTGGTTCGGGTCTGCAACGAGGTCCTTGATGCAAGGCAGTATGTTCGTCATTATGATGTTTTCCTGGTGAGTTTTGTCTAGGTTCTGACAGAAGTCTTTGACTTTGTTGGCGGCCGCGGCGCGGACCTCCGCCTCCGAGTCCTTCAGGAGGCTTTGGAACGCGGGGACGAGGTCCGTCCTAGTGATCTCGGGGCCAACGGCTTTCTGGAGTTCCGTGAATTTTTCGGCTACCATGTACCGGACCCTCCACGAAGTGTCGCCTGCGTGAACGAAGTTTAATAAATGTGAATTTACTTTGTTGTTGTGTAAACTTACCCGTGCATTGTCGCAACGTGGGCATCACTAATTGTTCTACATCTTCTTGGGCTAATAAAGTTGCAATACTGACACACGCCTCTACCGCTAGGAGCCTGACAGAATCCTGAAAGGTATAATGATGATAATAATAATAAATATGCTATATAGTGAGAGAGAAATACGTTTATTGTCCTAAGAAAGAGTTCTTGTTGACAAACGATTATGAACTATGTTAACAAAATAAATGCTATACAATTTAAAATTCAAAAAATTTCCTTAAAAAAATATACTATATTATAGTGATATACAGTAGTAAACTATAATTCATAAAAAGCGTTGTCATTGTAAAATTCATCTAAACTATAATAGGCTTTATCAATCAGAATGTCGCTTAACTTTTTCCTGAAAATATTCAAAGAATAACTCTTCAGGTATATGGGATTTTTTTTACATCTTTATTCCATTGTACATCAATGAGTCCTTCACCATTGTTGTTGTGAGGAGGGGAAGTATCATCACGAGCAGATATATTTTTATGAATCAGACTTACTGTTTCAAGAATGAATAGAGATATTATTGTCATAATTCGTTGTTTAATGAATAATGGTTTGCAGTGATCTTGGAACTTTGCCCCGCACACATACCGGACAGCTCGCTTCTGTAAAACGAAAACAGTCTGCAGCATGATTTTGCTGCATACTCCTCAGAAGACAATACCATATCTTATATGTGCATCCACAAAGGCAAAGTACGCAGATCTTGCAAAGGTTCTATCCAGTTCTTTCGAAACTGACTTCACTACAAAGCAACCAGATACAAGTTTTTTATTTAACTTGATAATATGATCCTCAAATTTAAGCTTATTATCAATGTGAAGTCCTAAGAATTTGGAGAACAATTTCATCTCGAGAATGTTGTTTTTCAAACTAAGAGGTGGGAGTTCACATTTGAAGGTGAGGAGATGGGTTTTATCAAAGTTCAAAGAAAACTTATTTGAGGCGCACCAGCTCTTAATTTTTTCCATGTCTACAGTGGCATCTTGAGCTAGTTTTGTAGGATCTTTTCCCTCCCACAGCAATGTTGTGTCGTCTGCAAATAATGTGACTCTAGCAGTTAGATCCAGTTGTGTTATATCATTAATATACAATAGAAACAAGATGGGTCCTAGGATGGAACCTTGAGGGACACCTGCTTTGATTTCTCCTACATTTGAGTCGGTTGAGAATCTTACAATTTGCTTTCGATGCAATAAGTACGATTCAAACCACCTAATGCTTCTATGCTTGAGTTGTATGCATTCTGTTGTTGACGAAGCTTGAAAGGTAAAAAAACAAAAAAAATCCTAAAAACACACTTCGAAAATATGTAATTTTTTTTTAATAGTACACCCAGTACACATTTTCCCAAATTGATGGATCTGCTATTACTTTACTAATCAATATTAGAAAAACTAATAGTATAACTTTCATGAATTAATACGAGATGAAACAAATAAATATCTGGATACTGATAGCATAAATAAGAAAAATTGTACATTACCTGTTCATCTTGAGCTAAATTTACGAACATAGGAATTAGATCCGATTTCAAATATTCTAATTCCACAACTTGGGCCAACTCGCCCAACTTCGTGGCTGAAGCTCTACGAACCATTGGCGTGTCATCTTGGCAAAGAGCCCTGAAATGAGATCTGAGCTCTTGCTTCATCGTTGCAGACACTCTAGGATAGCACACCTGAAAATGAAAGCGGAAAGTTGAGGTATTGGTCCAGAGTGTCAGACTCAAAAATATAGTAATATCATAAAAAATAATTACGCAGAATGAATGTTCCATATGACTTGATATTTTTGAGTGAAAAAAGTTATTATTTTCACTCGCTATATCTAGCACGCTGTGATTAATAAAATCTCAAAGAAACTGAAGTAAATTTATTCAACTGCACATTTCATAATGAACCCTGAACAATATTTCATAACTTGCTGTTGGATCCAAGCTGATGGACGAAGATGATTTATATTCTACATTTCTGAGCGAGTCAAGTCTTGGTCAGTGAATTGATTAAAATATTAGATTATGTGGATTATGATGACGAACCACCTATAACAACAGTAAATAAACGACCAACGACCTAGAATTCTTTCAAAACAGCAACAAAAATTATTTGTATTTTCCATTTTCAGTATAACAATGGTTTTCAAGAGTAAACCTCCGCTAATTTTAGATTATTATCTTGTATAAAATTCTTATCTCAATATATCGCAAATATAAACAAAAATTAATTGAACGTAAAATAACAAAGCAGAATTCTGGAATACCAAATCATGATGATTGATTTATCAGTGAAACTATTTTTTTTCTAAATATTGTTTCAGGTTTCTATAATGTAAACATTTTTTTGGAAACACTTTTGGCATTAATTATATTTGCTTGTTTTGATGTAGTCAAACTTTGGAAAAATTGAATCAAAAGTATATATTAAACAGTAAATTAACATTAAAATGAAAACAAATTAATTACAGTTTTCTACTTCTCTGGTTATACTACAATAACTTCCCCCTAGTGTATGTGTATATAAGATGCAGAGTAAAGTTGATTTATCTTGTGATTATACCCCTACTCACCGAAAATAGCCCACAAGAAGACGTCCTGGTGGTGAACCAATCTCCGGCAGCCAATCTCTGCACCAAGGGCACGAAGTGAGCCTCAAGATCAGCGGGACTATGCTGTTGCGCCACGGCTCTCAGTGATTCAACCGCTTTGTCACGTACCACTGTTTCTTCTACAGTAGCGAGGCTCTCTAGAGGAGGCAACAAACAAGAGGCGTACTCTGGGCCGCCAACCAAGGTTATGAAAGTTCCCAGTTGTTCGGCTAATGCCAGCAGCACTTCATCCTCGTCGTAGATGGTCTCCGTGAGAAAAGGAATGAGTTCTGTTCTGGTTCTTTCGACACCGAGAGCCAGAGCGATTGTGGATAGTTTTTTGATAGAGTTGAGGCGAAGCTGAAATATTATTTTATTTATTTGTGTGCTTGGCTCATAAAAATTCAGAAGACTCATTTTACAAATGCCTCATATGAATTAATAATTGCTTTCTCAGTAAATAGGGAAAGCTGAAATATGATTTTATTTAAGAGCTTATGCTCATAAAAATGTAGAAAATTCATTTTACAAATGCCACATATGATTTAATAATTGCTTTCTCAATAAATAGAAAAGCTGAAATATGATTTTGTTTGAGAGTTTATGCTCATTAAAATTTAGTAGATTCATTTCACAAATGCCACATATGACTTTAATTGCTTTCCCATCAAGTAAAAGCTGAAATATTACTTTTTTTGAGAGTTTATGCTCATTAAAATTTAGTAAACACATGTCACGTATGAATGTATTAATGCTTCTTCATTAAATAGGAACTGTATCCAAATATAATAGTTTCAAATTCATTAATTCGTTTTATATACCCATACTCATTGTACTCATGAGAATAACCCATTTGCTCGAAATGCAGAGAAAGAAGAAAGTGTAAAAAACCTCTATCAATCCATAAGTTTCCCCGAACATTAGTAATACATTTGAAGAGATTTTCGCCAAAAAAAAATTAGAGAAAAATTAAATGTTGACATTGACTTTCCCTAGGAAGGTTTAGATACGAGTGTTTCTGTTTCAATGTAGTCACTTGTCATGACTTCTGATATGGTTTGAAAAGCATTTTCATAAAGAGATATCACTTCATACAAAAATTGCTAATCGCAGATTAGCATTGCATTTCTTCCTAGAAACAAAAATCAACCTTTTTCAATGTATATCTTTGAAATATTTATTAGGATGGATAATCTTTACACCCTGTATATACTACATATTTACTGTTCTCAGACAATAAGCCAATGGTAATATAATGATCTGACAACTTGGACTAAAGATATATTGTTCAGATGAAACAAGTAAATATGATTCATTAACAATAATCAGATTACTAATCATGACCAACAAAGATAAAAATTCCTAATAAAATTCTCCATTAAATATTGTGATAACACAAAATTTATCCTATTCCAGAGCACACTAGCAAGACCTAAATCTATAAATAATAATTTTCAAGAAACTACTAAACTTTGACAGGATGATGTCATTTTGAAAAAGTTACTAGCAGAATGGTTAAGCCCCCTAACAATGTTTTCCTGCCCAAAACCACAACCAAAATGTTAAATACGAGATGAAGAGATTAAAGTAAATACAAATTATTAAATACCTGAACATCTTCGTTTTTCAGCTCGTCAATCAGAACGGCGATGGGATACAAAGAATCATCGCCTGCAGAATCGCTGGCTGCCATTATAGACCCTAGTCCGGTGGAAATCGCCGATATCGTCGTTTTTACTCGTTTGTGAACACACCGTTTACACCTGATGAAATATTCAACTTATTGTTTAAGAATTCTGCTTGGCAAAAAATCTTAATACAGTAAAATTCACTTACAAATTTTAAAAGCTTTGTCAAACTTCACCAAACCGATGTGTTTTTTACAAGTTTTTGGATAAATGGTAGAAAGGGGGCGCCACATACGTGATCTGTCAACTTTACAGTGCGGTGTTGCCAATGACATCTATAAAATACCCACACCATCATGCTGAGGCTTTCAAAACTCTTTTTTCTGAACAAATACTTGAAATGTTTCTACAGGAAATGACAGTTTGATGAATAACATTAAAATGATACTACCAAAATCTTATTTCACAACATTAAACTATACAAGGATTCCATAAGAGAAACATTTTTGAAATTCTTGGAGCTTCACAACTCTTGCCTAACTGCGCTGAAAATGTGAACCTATATTCCTCATTACATCCTCAACAGCTCTTTTGCAATAGCAGCTTCTGAAGCAGAAGAATGGATTTTCTGCTATATGAAAAATTGCCTCACATATGTTTCTGATATCACTATATTTTTGAAAACTGGTGGCTTTGTGTAAGCCACTAAATTCAAAAACTCATATCTCATGACTAGAAAACTTATCAATAAATATGGCGATCTGATATCCGACAACTATTTTGTTTTACAATTTCACATTCATTATTGAAAATGATGTGGTGCTACTTTATATGCACCTCTCTTTCTGACGTGCTTTGTTTTGCAGCACTGTACATCTGTGACACATCAAATTTTGTTCTTAACATCACTCAATGCACAGAGTACACTTGCCTTTCGGCAATTCGATGTTGATGGGTTGTTTCCAAGACCTATAATCTGTGTTACTGGCGTTTGATGTCATTTTTGGGGTAAATTTAAATTTCATTGCAATCGAGAAATTATCACAATGTCATCTCGGCAGGTTTTAAGGCTAATATATATGTCAGCCAAATCAGCTTTATTTTACCCCATTCACGTTCACTAACAATTCAACAACTTTTTAGGTTGACAATTATCACTAGGGGCTCATTTTCAAATGGAGTGAACTCTCGCATCAAGATAAAAATGGGATATCTCTTTCTAGTTTACTTTCAGAATAGAGATATCTGAATTCTTAAACTCAACAGAAAATGATTTGACAAATTGCTTCAACCAATAAAAACGCGCTAACGTTTCAAATGGACCAATAGATGAATCTATCGGAAATTAATCGGTGAATTTAAGAACTCGTCTACGGCTGAGTACCATCTGTCAAAAAAATTCACAAATATTTTAGACGTATTGGCCTTAGCCAATTGGGGATGCTAACCTAGGATCACAGACCATGGTCTGTGCCTAGTATGGGAAAGCTGTCAATAGAAAATTAGGGTACACATTGAAAAAATATTTAAGACATACATTGTGTCCCTTCAATTTCAATTTGTAAAGGATGTTTACTTTTATGTCAGATTTGAGTTAACTGAAGCCGATTTCCCCCTTTTAGGAAACCCGTGAGTAAATAAAATTGAAAGTAAAAACCACAAGATTACCTAATTATCTATTTAATACAATAAACACACTTTCAATAAAAAATCGTTTATGACAAACGCAAACAAAATTATGATGAGGCATGTTAACTTTATTTCTCTAAACTATACAATTTCAATGTTCTATCCATAGAAGTCGATGCGATGAATCTAGCGTGCTTACCAAACCGCACACCTGTCGCCATTGCTGTGTGGTCATTGAAAACTTTGAGCTCCTGCCACTGTTTACAGAGATAAACCCTGAAAAAAAAAAGATTAGCAATGGAAAACTCTACTGTTTTGCAATGGAAAACATACCTCACATCAGATCCGGCCACTGCCAAATATGTTCCGCTCTGATCGAAACATAAGTCTTTGATTTGATACCCTTCGTCAAGCTGCAAGGTTTTGAAATTCCTCAATTTACGCAAATCCCACAGTTTTACGCAAGCATCATCTGCTGCAGTGGCAAGATAATAACCATTTTCAGAAAACGATATGGTGGTGATCGCCCCAGAATGTCCTGAAAACAATAATAATGAAACGGAGTGAATAAGTATCAATATCCTCATATAATGTGGAAATTGAAGTGTTCAAAGCAAGTTTTTAAGGTATGCTACATACAAAATGGGATATCATATTGGTGAATACAACTATAAAATTGTATTGGACGTTCTCAACTTGAATAGTGTGTCTAGATTAGAATCATAAATTCAAATACCTGTGAAGTTAGCTACGTTGCTTTGCTCTTTCAAATCCCAAATTTTCACTTGGGAATCTCCAGTTCCAGTACCGAAAATAAGACCGTCAGGATGTAGTTGGGCTGTTGTGAGAGGAACGTTTGTATTATCTGTAACTTTGGTCAATAAACGTCCTGTTCTTATGTCCGAAAATGCCCAATGTTGATCCTCAGAGGTAGACAAAACGTAATCTCCAGTTGGATGCAGCGACAGGCCTGTGACGGGTCCATCATGCGCCCTTAACAGCAAAGTGGTCTGTGAAGTAGGCACATTCCAAACACGTATTGTTGAGTCAGGAGAAGCTGAAAAAGGTGGAAGGGATGAAAAAATATAAGTGACAACGTAAAAAGAAAGAAGAAAAAAAAATTATTCAACATTCATATTGTGATTACTTTTATGAAAATAAGTTCATATGAAGGTGCTTCTTTTTTGAAATAACATTAAGGACAATAATTTCAGTAATATCTTTCTTACCTGTGAGAACAAGATCTTCATCGGGATGATAAATTACTTTCGTGACTTTTTTTGTATGGCCCTTCAAAATAGCAACCATCTGCTCTGTGTCCTTGTTGAATACCGTAGCGTTTTTATCATTACCTCCAGTGAGTACTTTACTGGTATCTGAACTGTGAACATCCAAAGCTAAAATTCCCGGAATACTGGCCGAATGCAAACCCTAAAAATGAAATATTTTGTAAATGTTATCGGGGGAGTAAGACAAATTATTCCTAGTATTTATGGCATTTGTCAAAAAAAACTGTGAAACAAATAAAATATGAATTTCAGATTACTCAATTTGTGCAGAAATGTTATTACGTTTCAATAAAAATCAGGTAGTTATTTATCTAACTTGTAACACTTTTAATTATAGATTTATTTATTCACGGAAAATATCTATACAGGAAAAATATCTATACAAATTTAACAAATTCATACTAGTGGTACTGCTTTTTGGAGAATCATGGAACTAGAATAGTTGCTGAGAAGGCAGCATATCGGTTGGCTGTAGAAAGTTATAAGCGGAATTAATTTTGTATCAAGGCATGTTTCTCAAGTTTTAATAATAGAACATCATGAGAGACATAGTCAAATGCTATTGACATGTCGCAACATCCAACCAATTTCCCACACCAGAACAAAAATACTGTCTCTTGATGAGTGTTTCACTAACCAAGTTAGCATCATTACGAGTTTCAGTTGTCTCCCAAATTAAAGAATTTATTGCTCAATTCGATAAAGTTTTTGATTTTAAGAGTGTTGATCCATAAGTGCTAGGAATAAACATTTCGTAATCATTAAATATTTCATGAAGAATATTTCACTTACTGTTAACGAAGCCACCGTTTTGAAAGATCTCAATTGTTCTTGAGTTGTCAACTCTTCGGGAACGGTTCTGCCCCGCTTTTTCCGTTCCTGAGTCAGAACTGTCGCTTTCTCCTGCAGTTTCTCTATCACTTCCATGCTCATTCCTGCTTGTTCAGTTGGTTGATTCGCCACTCCGCCAGCTTCTGCAGCAACAGCCTGCAAATCATAAAATTTTGTAAGAAAATAACTGTCGAACAGAATTTTTTCTTTGTGAAAAATATATTTTCCTCAATTCTCACCGGCTGAGGTACAGTCGTAATACCAGCTTGGGGTTTCAAAGTAGCCAAAGCTTCTCTAGCTGCAGTGACTTCTTTGTTTAACCTAGAAATTGTTCTGCAAGCGGCATCGTGTTGATATAAAGCATGGCTGAGTTCTTGTCGGGCAGTTTGAAGCTGCTGCCTTTGTGTAAAACTGTACAACATTATGGCATCCCATTCATCCTGTAATAACTTTAGCGTCGCAGGAATACTAGTAGCGCTAGGCGGTTTTGGTTTCACTATCGGAGGTACTAAACAGTAATAAAAAACAATATTGAATTATTATTAACAATTAAATTAATTCGTAATAACTTCTAGGATTTGATATCTTAGGTGAGGGGAAATTATAGATTGACACCCATTAGTTGAAAAACAACCTTCCAAGATACAGCAGTAATAAATATTTGTTGAATATGAAAAGGTAGAATATAAGCACAGCAAAATCTTAGCATCTGTAAACTAATGCCAGGATTTCATTTCTTTCGGCCTCAGTACAAACATTCCGTTGTTTGAATGCTCTCTAAGCATCCCTCCAACTACTATTTTGATGAATCTTACTCAAGTAATTATTTGCCTTTATCACTTCTATCGTGAATGTATTTTAGAGAAGCCAGTGTTTAAAAGATTTTACTCACTTTTGATTTCAACTAGATCATCGATACTGAGTTCTTTTCCACTAATAGGGTCTACGCCATTGTCTTGAATGTATTTCTCAATAATTCTTTTCTCGAATATGGCTCCTGATGCAGGAGATACCACTGGGTGCTCCGGCACTTCATTGGAAACTGAAAAACGGAATTTTAAGGTTAAGTTTGACCGGTAAAGTCAAAAGGCAAATAAAAAACTTTAGAATTGAATACATAATTTTATATAAAAACATTTTCATTGTGAAGTTAGGACATAAACATATATTTACTCACTGGAACAATATAACGCCATTTTCGCAACAAAGTTAAACTAAACTATTGTGACAACTGACAATATGACTTGACACGATGGAACCAGTCTGGATTACCAACTACCAACTATATCATGAATTTGAGGGAATCTCATATTACTTCTGCCACACTCAATAGTCTTATATGTATTTCAAATTCAATAAATTACCCGACTACTTGACCACAGTATCTATCTGTGACCTGACAAATGGGATCCACACGTGTCCACACTGAATACACGAATACAGTTCTACCAATAGCGTTATCTATTGGTAAAACTAGGGTACTAATCCTCTAATTCCTAATACATTGAAGGTACATTAGTTTTAACGTTTTAACATTGTGTAAGGATTTATACAATGGTTTTACCATTGTATACAAAGGTTTTACTAATGGAAAAATATATTTAACTTATTGGAACCTATTGGCGATTTCATATTTCATGTTGGCAATCTTGACAATCAAACTGGTGGAAAAATTTAGATTTTGAATCAAGTGGGCTACATTCTAGTAGATGCCGTTTTGTTAAAAGTTGTATTAAGAATTTTCGCCAGAAATTATTCAAAAATGGAAAACAATTTGGTAAAATCTCTTAATAAAATTAAATCTACCATAAACGAAAATGATCAAGTCGTATGGGCATGCCAAGCATCTACTAAAAGTAAGTAAAAGATAAAAATTTTAATAGTGCTGGTAAAATATGTATGAACTTGCATTCACTTTTCAAGACAAAACTTTAAACTTTATCAACATCTTTTTCGTCCCTATTTTGTCTTAATCGAAGTGTATATTACATATTCTATACTAACATAGTTGGAAACGTGCTTACTATAACTTACTCGTGTATTATTTTATTGGTATATATGAAGTTATTCATTTATTCTTTTACTTATTTATGAATTATAGAAACCTCCATTCTGACAAGATTTTATACATATACATTTATATGACTATTCTCAAGATTAATAACTCAAAATAAAATTTTATACATATGCAGTGGTAACTGTATATCCTATTATACTGCTTCTTAGAAGCAGTCAAGATGTACCATTGTTGAGCCAATACATTAATAATTGAACAAAGAGTGTGAACTCTCACGGCCGGAGATAAATGTGTCAAAGCTATTTTTGGGATTTTCGACCGTTATCTGCAGGTTTTACGTTACGCAGGTTTCTACCGTTATCTGCAGGTTTTACGGCCAAAAAGACGGAAAATAGTTTTTACACGAAATTAATAGCGAATCCATGCTGTTGATTGTTGAAGTATTTAGAAATGCCAAGATAGTTGCTCTGTAACAAAATGATCTAATATTTTTGGAATAACTCATGGAACGGTTATGTCTCTGTAATTTTTTCATATTATTCTAATCCCTGATTTGTGAATGCGCCTGATAAACTTAATTCTTCCAATATTCTGGGAATATGCTTCCAGCGAGAGACAAGTTAAATCATGTGAGAGAAAGAGAACTTGAAGTACACACACTTATTTTTATTGAAACCGAAGGAGTTCCATCAGGTCCTTAGCTAAAACTAGTATTCAAAGAGAAACTTTCTATGTTTTTTACCACTTTTATAATATATAAGGACATTTTCAAACTTAGACATTAATGTTTAACGTACCTATAAGTTTGAGGAGGAGGAAACTGCAATAACGTTAGTTACAAATAAAAGTTTCAATTCTCTTTTCTTCATTATGATTCCCTACCACATCCATCAATTTATTGAAATAAGGATAGCTTTGTAAGTATGATTAGTTTGATCTTCCTCTTGAAGATGATCACTTGGTGATCGAAACACGTGTCGAGATGTTGAAATAACGATTTGGTGTTGGGAAAAAACTCAAGTAATATTCATTACTACACCAAAGGTTCCAAATAGTGCATCACAAACACCTAATCAGAGTGATCAACAAATAAAGTCATTGAGATAAATGTATTCGAATATATAACTCTTGATATATAACTCTCAGAAGTTGAGAAACTTGTGCGAGCTAAGGACTAACGAGGTCTTACCTTTCAACGTGTGATTCTTAACACGGTTGCAGAATCATCCCAGCTTCAACCAGATAAATTCTCTCGAGAAAAATATCTGGTCGAGGCAGGAATCGAACCCACGGTCTTCCGATCGTGAATCGGGCGCACTACCACCGCGGCCAATTCCACAAAATGGTACTTTGTTATTTCTTCATTTCGTTACCATTCTCAAGAGCAATTTGCATTTTTTTTTCCATTTCTTCAACTTATTTATCACTACCGTATTTTTTGTAGCCTACGAGGAAGCATCGAACAAACTCACTTTTCGATGTGACCAATTAACAAAGGAGATTGCGAGGATGGTTGATGAAATCAAAGAGTTTCAACCACAAGTTGAGATTCTGGAAAAATGTGTTGATGTGTAAGTTTATCTTATCTAATAATATTTTTTGTACTTATAGTGTAAGATATAATGTTGGAGGGAATGACAATTCATCGAAGTGCTTTAGAGGCTGATGTGGACTCATGAGACTCGAAACGACTTCATTATAGAAGTAAACATTCCATTTTTCATCACCCAAATATTATTAAACTCTGAAAACTACGACAAATTTACCTGTTACATCAAAATACTTTAGGGCAATTTAAACTTTGAAATTTCTAGCACTTTCGAATCGAAAAAAAAAATTATTAATTATATATTGAAGACCTTGGAGAGACAAGAAAGAACGCCTGCTTGACATCACTTGATTTCAGTAAGGCGTTCGATACTTATTTGGACCTTGATATATTGATAAAAAAATTGAAATATTTTAGTTTGGATGTTATGTCAGTTCCTTCAAAACGTTGACAAAGGCTTGTTGTTGGAACTGAAATGTCTAGCTCTGAAATGATACCCAGAGGAGTTTCCCAGGAGAGTATACTGGGTCCACTATTCAATACACTCGTACATTGCCGATATTTTGCCTCCTTCTTGAAAGATTGTCAGTCCCATCAACGTGAGGATAATACTCAAATATATTGTTTTCAACTTCTGAAACTTTTCTTCCTTGTATAATCAACAGAGATCTCAAAATTACTGCTTAGCTGTTGAAATCGTATTAATTAATACTTAACGATAATAAAACGGAATTGATTTTATTTAGTAACAACAACTATGAAATAACTTGACACACAGGACGCTATCATCATTCTATTAAGTTTTTACTGCAAGGCAGCAAATAAATAATGACTACATTGAGTGAATAACCTACCATTTGTTGTCATGCAGTTGAAATATAAAAGTGATATTAGGAACATATCTAGTTAGTGGATACTGGAGAATTGTCTCTCAATTATTCATCCCCTAAAGTTCCCTTAGACGTGCAGCCTGTGATACTTTATGATCACTTTATCTTTATTAAGAACCACATCCCACTCAATTGGCAAAAGGGCCAAAAAATAACAACTTGTCACAACTTGTTGTGCCTCTGACCAACCTTTGCCTTCTTCCTTCCATGTACACGAACTGTTTCTCAGAGTCGACATTTCTGATCTATCCAATTTATAATGGACTAACAGTATTCAAGAATCAACACAAGAAGCGCTGTTTTGACTCTTCATAGGTCTCATCAGTGGTGCTAGTCTGATCCATGAGAGCACTGCTGTTTTTAAGTAGATACTCATGATTTCTTTGAAGATATTTCGCTACTCGGGAGTCTTCTGACTGGTTCATTTCTTCTATTTCTTCAGAAAACAATGCAGAATCATGGGTTTAATATGTTTTTTCATATCTTTTCATAATACCCATTCCAATAATCTTGTTCCCTGCACTAGCTTGTACAGTTCATTCTTGTTTGTCATTTTTTTGGTTAAAATTCTCACATTCGTATATGAGGCATGTCTGCAGCTATGTCTCTGTTATAAAACCATATTTCTCCAGGTGTCATCTAAAAAGACAGTATCCGTTATAGACATTTCCCAGTTTTCTTATCACCTGCAGATCTTAGAAACATAGACAAATATATATTGAGGTTACAGAAAATTTGGTTTCTTCCTTTTTGACAATACACTTTGTTTGAATCATAGGAAAAGTATTATTATTATTTTTTTCAGTCAGAATGAAACTCTTAAGATAAGTCAGCAGTCTCTTCTGACCCATCGTTTGTACAAAAAATGCGTCGAAGAGAAACTAACCGAATTCGAAAAAGAAGCAGACACCCTGGTACAAGATTACTCTAAGAAATATCAACTTCGTAAGGAAGAACTGGAGCGTACTAATCCAATGTACAAAACTCTGGAAGAGAAAAGAACAGAGCTGCAGAAATGCAAAATCGAATGTCTGATTCTGCAGCAGAAAATCTCCCAACGAAAACAAATCAACGAGCAAAAACACGAGATACAAAGGAAACTTTTTTATTCGGATATGGTATCATTTGCAGCAGCCTGGTTGAGGAGAGACAGAATTTTGAGGGAGTTTGAGGAAGTCAAACAGAAGGAAAAAGAATGCATGATCAGGTTGTTGGAAATAAAGGAGAGTTTCAAAATGAAACAAAAGATGGGTTATTCGAGGAAAGATAACAAGGTTCCTCGAATTGAGGTGAGTTGCATCTCTTCAGTAGAGTTAAAAAACCGTTGAAATCATACTTTGATTTACAGTTTCCTAAAAATAATGTGAAGAATGATACTGCAGCGATGCCTGGGAAGAACCAAATAAATGGTAGGTACCTGAATATCAGATAAATATTATATAAACACTAGCAGATCTGACTACCCGTTGCTGTTGATGGGGTATACGTATGTATGTTATTCAGTACAGTGAAATTGTTATTTACGAATAGAAACAGAGGAATGTCGTAGACGTTCGTCTCGCTGTTATTTGTCTTTTAACATAGCGCCATCTATTGGATACTTGCTCAATCCAGTCAACTCATACCGCCATCTATTGGATATTTACTCAATCTATTCAACTTATACCGTAACAGATAAAATTATGACTGTAAATTAATGAAAAAGTAATTAACTCTGACTCTATGTACAAAAAAGCTAGCTGAAGCGTTATATTTTTCTTGGCTCAAGGTCGATCTCAGATAATTTTTTGACCATTTTTTGGCAAGAAAAGCTTCTCTCACCCGAACAATTCGTCGTTGATGTACATCCGGCTATACAAAGAGCTATGTCCATGTTCGGATAAATGTTCTGCAAACTCTGTTTTCGCAGAAACAAAAATGGACTCTCTAATGATGTAGAATCTGGTTTCATTGTTAGAAATTGCAGAAACTTTCATAATATTAAAGCAATGAAGCTGTTGTATTTCACCTACGTACGTTCGAAAATAGAATATGCAAGTATCGTCTGGAGTCCATTCTATGAGATTCATAACATAGCCATTGAAGGAGTTCAAAGAAAGTTTTGTAAATTTTTTATTTTGAGAATAGATGGTTCTTACCCTGAGAGAGGTATCAGTAATGATGTAATATATTAACGTTTGGAACTTTTTAGTTTAGAGCATCGCAGAAAATGTGCGTCGCTCATATTTTTATTGTAGTTAGTGAATGAGAGAGTTAACTGTCCTAAAATTCTTGAACAAATTAACTTCAATGTACCACGGCCAGCTTTACGATCTCAATCCATTTTTAGACCTCTCAGAGCAAGAAATAACATGCTCAATTCCCCACTATATGTTATGTGCACAAATTTCAATAGCATTTGTGCCCATGGTGATTTATTCTTCACTATTCTTGCTAACATGTACTTGAAGTAGGTAATTAGAATTAGTTTTTCTTTTTTGTTCATTTTATTTTTCGTTTATAGTTAAGTATTGTGAATACAATTTTATATTGTCCTGTAAATGGGTAACTGTTGGACAATAAAGCTATTATTATTTTTTTTTTTCACCGCAGTGTGCGCTGGTCAGGCCCTATCCCCCGAAGTCCCGATACATTCGGGAGGGCGCGCCAGCATTATCAACCAATGACCACTCCCCTCACCGTGGGATACGTGATCATTGGGTCCGAGAATAATGTGCCCTGAGCAAGCGCAGTGAGCCAAGAATGACAGCCTTCTGCATCTGTGCGGCTAAGATTTCTGCCTTAGTGCGGCAAGCCGGTATGATTTCAAGATTCGAGAGTAGAGAGGACATCATTTCACCAAGGACTCCAATAATCAGAACAACCGTCTTGATAGAGTGATCTGGATAGAGTCTGCGTTTTTCCTCCTCTTTTGTGACGATATTCGTCTCGCCAGGAGCTGAAAACTCCACGACAAATATCGTTTTGCTCTGGTGGTCGAGAAGGACCACATCAGGCTTATTAGCTTTTATTATTATATTAGCTATTATTATTATTCTATCAAAATGCTTTGCAAAGATATGTGGCTCCAAAAATGTATGCATCCTTTTGCAGACATATCTGTGAGACATCAAAAAACCGTTTTACCATAATATTTTTGATTTCCATGATGTAGCAAAAAAATCGGCCTCCAAGTTTACCGCCCCAAAAATCTGCCGCCTTAGGCTCAAGCCTTCTCAGCCTGCTGGAAAATCCGTCACTGGGCAACGCGTTTTTGGCCCAAAAATTGTTTAGACTTTTACAATCATTCGTGAGACTTACCTAGATATTTCAGCGGCTATCTCTCTTAAGACTTGAACGACAATTTTCTGTCACCATTTTCTTTACTTTAGCGATGTTGAATTCAGTTGAGGATGTCGATGGCCGACCAGATCGACATCTTTTAAATACACTGTACCACTCATACGCACGGTTTTTTTTTTATTCACCGTAAGTATTATGCAACACTGCTTCGGCAGTGCCAACCTAGCTACAAAAATAATTTCGACAATATCCCCACGCGAATTTTTATGATAATGAAGTGCCTATTATTCAAATATCTACTTGGAATAACTAGATTTCGTGCCGCCAATTTTTTTCATTCATGTTTCATTGTAGAGTTATGTTTCTTCTGCTCATGTAGTCGACCTAATCATCTCAACAAAGAGCACGTCTAAAGAATATTGGACGATGTTCACTACTGGAATAAGAGGGAACAGATATCAGTAAATCTCAACTGTGATAATTCCCCTTACTGAGATGGAAAAGGTGAATGATTCATTTCCACTTTTTTTTCAATTTTTTTTCCATTTGTTGAATTGAAACATCTAGGTATTATCCTCGATAAAAAAGCTCATAAGTCGCTTCCTGTCTGAAAAGCACCTACTTTCAGTGAGAAGTGAAGATATTTTATGCATTTACTATGTATTTTTTAGTTTTCATAATGTATTTTGCTTTTCCAGATCTGAAATTATTTGAGAAATCTCCGACCACCAATCCATTCTATGAACTGACGAACCTTTTAGAGGAAAAAAAATGTACCCTTCCAGATACCGTCAAAACTGATTCAAGAAAGACATTAGCACCTAGTAATTACCAACAAAAAACTGAGTTCAACAGCACTCACTCTAAAGTGAGAATTTTGGAAAACAAAATCATAACTCCTCCTAGTGTACAAGCTAAGCCAATCGAAACTCTCACCAAGGAAGAAAGAGGTAAAGCAATCGAAGCGAAACTTCAAAAAGTCGTGCGAAACTTCAACAGAAATTTATCCAGACGGCACAGTCAACATACTCTAAAAACTCTCAAGAGCGATCTTCAAAACGGTAAAATTACGGACCAGCCTCAAGAAGAGAAGCTCGTTCCGATGGAAGGGGTAGAAAACTCGAACTCTCAGAAAGAAACTGGTGCTACTCAGGATCTGGCGAATTTGAAAATCCTCAGTCAAGATATGAACGAAAATGTTCTGAATTTAATTTCCCAAGAGTCGACGAATAATCCGGAATCTACCTTGAAGAAGTTCAAATATAGTCCAGAGAGAAAACTTTCATTACTGAACAAGCAAGACTCCACGCAAGAAGAAAAAACTGGTGGTAATTTGTTTGGAATGACTTCTCTGAGAAAGAGTCAGAATGTGCCAAAAAGTCCGATTATTGACACAAAGAACAACCAAGAGTTTCTGCAGAGAACAACGAATAATTCATTCAAAAAATCTGAAGCTGCTACATTCTTGAAAACTCCCCATTTCACTATGAAGTCAGGTAACCCTGGTCAAACAGTAGGTCTCAGTAAGTTGGATCCATATGGATAACTTTTTTTATATTGTTTTTGTAAAAAAAAATATCCCTCATAAAAAGACTTGCAAGAAAAAGAAATAAACTGCGACTATCGGTTAACAATTTTTTCCAAAACCTCAACGATGAACTACTTTTATAACTGGTGGTTGAGGTTTGAGTCCTTTCAGAACTTTTTATGAAGAATATCTGTTTCCTCTGAATCACCGATGAAAAGGTTTTCCAACTTACTATGACTTACTACAACGACTGTCCAAGATAAGGACGATCAAATTTTTCGGAATACATCTGGAACAAATTTTTTTCACACCTTCTATCTTATATACGGTATGCCTCATGCCAAACTTCTTCCTCTCAGGCTTGGTGAATTGAAAATACGCGGCGTGGTCGTTGAAACAAGTTCCAATAGCTAGTTTAGTCTGACCAACATACATTTTGCCTCAATCCTCACTGCTTATTCAATGGAACCTTCAGGAGAGATAGAAGTTTGGAATTTCAATTCGACATATTAATGTGCATTTTGTGAATAGTGTAACTTTTAGAAAGAACTTTTTCATTTAAAAACATCATTAATTTTATTATACTAGGTGCAAATCCGTTTCGTAGTCCCTTTGCTAGTGAAAAACATAAACAAGAATCAAACAACTTTTCAGGTAAACCAGGTGAGTTTTTTCCGGAAACTAATTCTTCAAAATTTTCAATCGGGGTTTTTCAGGAACTAATAATCACCCGTTTAAATCCAACTCAGCACCTCTGGATGTTTTACAGAATTTACGAAATGATGTTAACAATGTATTTAAGAAACCAACAGATACAGGTGTCGTTTTTGCAAATCAGGAGCAGGCTCATGTGGAAACTATGGGTAAGAACTTTTTTATATATGCTCTTGCAGAGATTTTTATAAGTTGTAATTGTGCTAGGTTCCAAACACCCTGTATACTTTTGATTAACCAAGCGTTAGTATACACATCATTAGGAGGTTCGTAAATCATTTGTTGAAATACTAAACTAGGTGAACTTGAATATATAGGTAATTAGAACACAAAAATAGCAACGTTATTACAATTTTTGAGAGCATACATAATTTTTGTATAAAAAATTACGAAATAGTTTATACCCCTTTATTTACTTTTTTCAAATTTATTGAATTCTTGTTTCTCAAACGTTGTTTTCTAGAAATACACTTTCAAATTTGAATTCTGAATAAATTTTGTCTTTCTGTTTTAAAATGATTTGTTCAGTTTCTCAATTAATTTTGAACTTTTACAATTACTTATTGACGCCTATAGATGGCGTCTTCGTAGGGGGAGATGTCATCACCTTTACTTTTAGGTGTTGGACCGATGGTTAGAACAACCGTCTTGACAGAGTAATTTCGAGTACGAAGAGAAATCTCTCTCTCTCTCTCATCTCTTTCCTCAACTCTTCGTCGCTCTTAGACGAATATCGTCTTATTTTGATGGTCGAGCAGGACCGCACCAGGCTTATATGCTTGAATCAGGGTAGGGAATGAATAGTTCCAATAAAATCGGCATTTGTCATTCCCCACAATGGATTCAATATTCTCCAGAATATAAGACGACACCGGTGTCTTATCAACACCGTAGGCGTGAAAAAGATGGTAATGAAACGTGCGTAGGTCAGTGGATATAGGCTGGGACCCCATATGTTGGACCGCGACAGCAAGTGCGTAAGCATCTACGATGTCTCGCGGCTGTATCTGCACCTGGTGTCAGGACCTTCCATACCCATCACGCGATTACACCAGACCAAGGTGTTGAAGTCAGTATCCTGTCAGGATATGATGAGCCTCTCACTTCAGTTCACTCAACCTGAGAAAAGTAAACGTCAGGTACTATGGATAAGCCAAGGTTTTCAATATTGTTGAAGACCTTGGCTCATGCATCTGCTCATACTTGTGTAACGGCAAGTGATCTCGGCGGCTTTGATGTGGATCCTTTACTGAACGGGTTCCAACTCGGTGACAGAGGTGTGGTCACCTTGTTCAGTGTCGAAAACCAAACCCAGTTTATCAACCTCTAGTCAGTAGGGGGCTTTAGGAAGTCGATCTTTTGGTGAGTCCCGTTAGCGTAGTTGGTAAATACGCCCGTCTAGAGACCATGAGTTCCAGTTTCAACCCCTGGTCGGGTCACACTTTTTCAATTTAGTTTTTTTTCATTTTTGTCTGTATACCGTAAAATTAATCTTATGTATTGTTACATCTCCGTGTTAGGAATCACACGTTAAAAGGTAAGACCTCGTTAGTCCTTAGCTCGCACAAGTTTCTCAACTTCTGAGAGTTGTCATTCGTATGGGGGCGGCAGCTGATTAACGGAAAAACTGATTTTAAACTGACTGATGATCTCACTTTGGAAATATGAGTTTTTTTTAAAAAATTATTTATGTTAAAAAGGGGAAAACGTAATCGAACAGAAACTGACTGTAAATATAATAACTGATACAACTTTAATGTAACTGTAATTATAACTGACTTATATCGCCACGCAGGACGAGTTTATAAGAAAATAAATGATTATGTAGTATGAAAACAAAACAAAGAAAATAAAGGTCTTCCGTATCGTTGTTTGAAAACTGCGTATTGCCGGATGTCGATTCAGCATAAGTCAGCATCGACATTGGTCTTGTTTATCCATGTCACCTTGGGTATGAATGGAGAAGGTCAATAAACAACATATAACAGAATTTATATTACAAACGCTGATAATAACTGAAAAAAGGTGAATGCGAATGATAAACAAAAGAAGATATTTATTTAGGATAAAAATCAATGTATGCCATGTTGTTTTTCAGCTACCAGAACAAATAATGCATTACACAGCGAGGAGAAATCTGTGAAACCGAGTGAATTCAATGATGAAAATGATTTTTTTAATATGGGAGGTCAATATAACTTCGGAAACGTAACCCAATTCTCCCAAAATCTAAACGAATCAGGTATGTCATTTCTTTGAGCCAACAGAGAAAAAATTCGTTTATTTTATTTGTTTGGAAAAGTTCTTAGAATATTCGAATAAGATGTGATACGATTGATATGATCTGGACCAGTGAAAACGACCAGTGTACTCGTTTTTGAAAAAAATCTCTTTGGATCGTTCGAATTTTATTGTCAAGGAAAACCTCATTACCTCACCCTCTCCAATGTAACCCTAACCAGTCCAATCTAATCTAATCCAATATGATAAAATCCAATTCAATCGAATCTAACCCGATCCAATTCAATTATTTTTTTATAGAATTCAGATACGTAATGTCTTAGACAAGGAAAGTCTGAACCTATAACATTCATTAAAAAAAATTGTCAACTTATTTCAAACAAACTTAAGATTGGATCGCATCCCGTCGAAGGGGTAGAAGTAACAAGGTTTTAAATGTACGCAAAAGATTTCTTTCTCGAACGAAATGAAACTATTTTTTTTCAAAAGTCAACTGTGGGAAATCTGCTTTTGTTTCGTTTTCTTTTGTCCACCCCGAACACTTAATTCTAACTACAGTTGGGTCGATGAAAGAATACACATACGTTTTTGTTTTTTTTTAAATTTCACTAATAGTGGGTTAATTCCATAAAATTCGTCAGTAATTTACTAATTATTCTGTGAAAACATATTTCATATTCCATATTTTAATTCCAATATGTGGCAGTTTATATATTCCGGTACGCGGAATATTAGACAGAGCTATTCCCAATTTGAGGTTAAGATTTATAATTAGCGTATAAAATTTACATAATGTGGCTGTCTTTTATTAGTTGTGAAAACAACTATTCGTGTAGTATAAAATAATTGAAACCGTAGAAACTATTTAATAAACAACTACGTTCGTACTACCACGTAATAACTGCCAAACGATAGTAATAGGTACGTCATCAATCAGTCTCAAAATTCAAGACATTTCCTGCTATGCTCTCTGCTCTCGTTTAACTTTAACAAGTTAACAAGAGCTCTGTCTTTAAACAAACGGAAACGTTAAATGTTTGGTCTTTCTTCTACACTTGAAGTAGAAAAGGATGCTATATAAAAGTATGTGTTTCATCGCGTATTTAATTGATGAGCGTGTGTATTCTTTGTCGACGCAAATGTATTTGGTGAGATCACTAATTTATTTTTCAGTCGACTATGAGACGGTATGGAGCCCCCCGGAAGCCGATTTTGCCAAGAGTCCCCCCACTGAGAACGCGATATTTTCTTTCGGGAAGTCTAGTACTGGATTTGAAATCAAATTCTGAATAGAATCAAACGCTGTTCTAAGTATTGCATTCGTATTAACAATTTTCAAGGATGAAACTTAGATTTTAAGATTTATGGAAAACACGAAATGTATTTTTTGTTGTTAATTTGTTGTGAGAAAAAAGCATTTGTTTAGTTTTACTCGTACACTCTGTATTATCATGCCTGTTTGACAACGTCAGTTGTGCTGTCATTTGAAAAATTAAATTTTGAATTTTTGTGGAAATGTGATATTACTTTTATTCATGGGACACTGTCTATCAAGGTGAGTTCTTCCACATTTTACTCGTGTACTTTGGTTGAATGATAACTATCCTCTTCAGCGTTGACGTAAAATTAGTTTGTAAATGAAACATTGTAAAAAATCTATGAAACATATTTGTTAAATTGAACACATCACTTTTGGTTTTCAAATTCAAATTTCAATATGTAACTAGTTTGATTTTGTCCTTACGACAGTGGAAGACGACAGGTCTTCCACTTTTGGAACGATACAATCTAGAAACATGAGCTGTGGATCAACCACGAATTTTGCTAAATCATCTCATGTTTCCGAGGAAAAAATCAACGACTATGATTACACGGCAGCTTGAATGAGTATTTCTAACAACCGATGTTACTTAAATCAACGTTAATGTCTGTGTAAACATCTTTTTCGTCGAACGTTATCAAACCGATTCAATAACTCTTAATATTGTGACAAATTGAAGAATTACCGGTCTTAAACAAATTTGTTTCTAATCACAAACTAATTTATTTACACTTTACACTTAGCAACTAACGCTTAATTTATCTCCACTATTTGAATTCCTTTTTCAACCGCTCGATTCACTCTGTATCTGCAGAGTAGGGAGGGTGAGTGTAAGCCCACAGCACTTAGGCCACATGTGACCCATTGTCCATCCTCCCGAGGAGTTGTCCTCCTAGGTCATCGTCCATCATGTCCTTTCCAGGAAGATGGACATGTCACTGGGAGACATCTCCTTTATATCGGCAGGTGTAGGCCAAGACTCGCCGAACACACACTCTCTTATTGACGATAACTCTGGACACTCGCATAGGACATGCCTGACAGTTTCATCTTCCTGTTCACACATCCTGCATAGAGGTGTGTACATTAGCCCCATATTATGGAGGTGTTTTCTTAGTTGACAGTGGCCAGTCAGAAATCCTACTGTTAAGCGTATATTTTTTCTGGTCATCGCCAGATATTTCTTTGGCGTCAGCTTCCCAGGGTCGCCCAAGGTGATCCTAGCAAGATTGCATCCTTTGATTCCATCCCACCTCTTTAAGAATTGAGCATGGGTGTAACATTTGGCTAGTTCCGCAATTGTCGAAGCCATCAGGCTTAGGTGCCACCGGGTCCTAAAATTCTTAGTCCAGCCGCTTCCTTGGCTAAAGAGTCGGCAATGCGATTAACTTTACTCCTGTCGTGCCCTTTAACCCACCTAAGGATGATGTTATTATCTACCGAGGCTTTGGCTAAATCTTGGTGAAACTCTAGTACTAGCCCCGAAGTTATACGTTGTCTGTTCAAGGCTAACATTTTCCTTTCCTGGTTATTTCTTTTGTGCCGATTGAGATACCAGCCAGTTCTGTTTGGACAACACTGGTATTTCTTCCCATTCCCCACTTGATCCTTAGGCTTAGTGATCTGGAGTACACTCCACATCCTGAGCCTTATTTGGTTTTTGAACCGTCTGTATATATGCGTATTGCATTTATAGCATCTGACTCTGTGTTCTGCTTAATTTGTATTTTGTAGGGTTTATTAAACACAAACCTGGGTTCAATTGCATCACTGGTCGCCTGCAGCAGAGGTTGCGCAGTAAGCGCTTCCCGCCATAGGCCCAGTCTCAATTGACCCATTCCTACTTCGAGGTTTACACCAGCCGTGCGCAATCATACCATGGCAATTAACCCAACCTGCTTAACGTACAGGTCCAGAGGGGTCAAACCCGTAATCAATTCATTGCCGCGGTTGGTGTTGTTCTCATGGCTCCTGTGATGTTTAAACAAGCCAGTCGCTGTATTTGATATAATTTTTGGATGGCCGTTGCTTGTAGAACTTTCGGTCCCCATGCAATAGCTCCATACGTTAACATAAGTCTTATTGCAGTGTAGATCCAGGTGCCCACACTGGTGAAAGACCCCATGCGCGTCCCACTGTCCTCCGACATTGCTCATAAGCCACATATGCTATTTTTGCTCTACTCTGTAGATGAGAAGTTCCATGTTACCTTCCTGTCGAGGATAGTACCAAGGCATTTCACCTCTTCGGAGAAGTTTAGTTTGCTTTTGAAGATTTCGGGAGATTTTAAGCCCGATAAACTTCTTTTCCTAGTGAAAAGGACCATCTCAGTCTTCTTGGAATTGATCAACAGTGAGTGTTCCTTGCACCGTGTTTCTATTAATTTGAGCCCATCCTGCGCTCTATCGCACAGCGTGTTCACAAATTTGCCGGTCTGCAAGATAACTATGTCGTCTGCATATGCAATTGTGTAGAATCCATTTTTGTTGAGGTGATTAATTAGGGTATCCCGCTCGATTCACTTTCTGAACTCAACTGCCCTCTTGGGTCCAGAAGCCGGGCTTATATAGGTAACGGTTCTTTCTAGAAATCTGTAGTCGGTTCGATACTCAACTAGAGTTTTACCGGCGGTTGCCGACTGCATTCCTTTTGAGGTGATGTCGTGTGTTTGTTCGCTGGCCGGCATATCGGTCAGGCGCGGCTTCAGATTCGTTACAATATCTTGAAAAGCGGATTAGCTTTATAGAAACGGATCTATAGAGGCATGTAAACACCTACTTTGAGCGGTATTATAATGTGGTGGCATAAAATTCCCTAATCGGTCAAAATGTGAGTTCTTTTAAAGTGATGCCGAATCAAATAGGGCAATACCTTGCTGCCTGTTTCAATCCATAAAAAAAACAATAGGGATTAGATCTATGGATACTTGAAAACTGAAATTTTAGGTATAGTAATTTTGTATTTCATTCAGCTCAAACGTCTCAAACATTAACAAAAATTAACCAACAGTTAGTTGAATATGTTGTGTTGGCAATGAGGGTACTTATGGACGAGTTCGCTGGATTTAAAGAATACGTTCATACGAGCACGTAACATTCGTTTTTATAACGACCGGAGTTCTAACATCCATCATCTGGGAAGTATTCATTTGAATTAGATGACATTATACATCTGGACTCCCTCACTACCATCATTGCCAACATAGAACATTTGATTAACTTACAGAAAATCAAAATCAAAATCATTCTAAGTATTAGGTATTTTGTGCAAAAATAGAATGTGTCTCGCTGATTTGTTTGAAAAATAATTGTCATTTATTCTCGATTTGATCACAACACCCACATCTGGGGTTTTGCTTCCCAAAATAGTTTGAAAACAGTTAAAGAGAACAGTTAGAGAAAAAAAGTTAAAGAGATTGAAAAACAAGTGGATTAACTGAAACCAACCATAAGTTTAAATCAACCATCTATTTATGCACAAAGTGTTTACTAGTTATAAAAATTATATCCTTCAACTCGAAAAAATATGATATCAAATCAAAAATAAACTACTGGAGAAATTTACAGAACTTTTTTATGACTGATTTGGTGCATATGAAATTCTGTTTTTCAAAGACACTGATTCTACAAAAAATATCTCGGGATCGACTTCATTTAGGTTTGGATAGCCTTATTGAAAGTCATCTTTGAATTTGTCGTAGAATTCGATAAAGGAAATTGAAAAAACATTGAACCTCGTCTATATTTTTCAAGAACACCCTTTATATTTGATAATAATTTATTACATGGGTACTAGTGACCTGCGTATTCGTTTCATAAAAAAATCATTAATGATATATGTTTCATCTAGCTTTCAGGACTCACCCTGTATACTTCAGAAACAAAAATAAATGAATTTCAAATGAAAATTATTATTTTTTGAATCTGATTCAAGAAACATCTCATATCCTCTTTTTCAATTGTCAACAAAACATTAACTGAGTATTTAAATTATTTTCAAGTTTTAATTATTTTTTTTTGTTTCGATCTAGATTGTGACAAGATAAATGTCTCTTTTTCGTTAGTATATATGAAGAGGAAGAGTAGCAACTGCCAATAGTTTCTAAACTAACCACAAAGTAATTGAAAATCGAACATTCAAATAAACTTCATTTTATTTCAATAAATAAGTACAAAAGTACAAAAATATAAACCATATTAAGGAACCTACATGTGTTCGTCGACTTCGTTTTCTCTGGCGCTCTCCTTGGTGTTTTCTTCCGCCCCCTCAGCCTGTCTCCAACCTCCCGCCATCGCTGACTCTTCTTTCTTCATACCCTCTGACTCCATTTCCGCACCCCAAGGTCCACCTGCAGCCCTCTGCTCGGTCATCTCTTCCATTTTCTTCATAGTGTGACTCTCTTTGTCATTCATCTCTTCGGTTTTTGTAACCTGCGTTTCGTCTTTGGACATTTCGGACGATCTGTACGTACCAGGAGGAACGTAAACAGGAGAAGGAACAGGGGAGTAGGATGGAGAGTGTGCTGGCGGTTTGGAAGGGGGTGGGGCCATGTATTCATGCTCAGGAGAGGCAGCAGGAGGATACTGTTGCGGCTTGTATTCCGAAGCTGGAGGAGAATATGCTTGGGGTTTATAGTCTTGACTTGGAGGAGCAGCATAGGCAGGTTGCTTGTATTCAGGAGGGTAGGATTCGTGCTTGTACTCAGCAGCTGGAGGGGGTGAATAACCCTGGGGTTTGTTGTACTCCTGAGGCGGTTGCGAATATACCGGTGCTTTGTAGGGTTGGGGCGAATATGCTGGGCCTTCGGGTTGCGAATATGCTGGTGGTGGTGGATATGGCGCAGGTTTGTACTGCTGGTAGGCTGGAGCATTCGGTTTACCCATCGGCTTAGGCTGGGGTTGGTAAACGGGTTTGTACCCCCCGGGGTGTTGGTATCCTCCATACGGCCTGTAAGGTTGGTACGGCCTGGCGTATTTTCCGCTGGACGACCGATAGCTGTAGCTCGGAACTGGCATCGTAGGGCCGTGGTACGTGGACGGAGGATGAGCGTACCCCGCTAGACTAGGCTGGCATGTGATGACGAGTCCGTTTTGTCCATGGGGTCCTGAATGTGGGAGGTGTTTCTTATTCAATGGTGTGTGAGGTGGCGGAACACCATAGCTGGAACTGTACCCGTCGTAGGAAGATCTCGCTCGTCCACTCTCCAGCGAATCATTATCTTCGTCGGAATCGGA